TTGCGTTTTTACAAGGGCATAATACTACAAGTCTACAACCGAAGTTCCCAGGTCCCAAGTGAATTTAAATTTTTGGTAGTTGTTTGGTGACCGGGCTTCTCCCAGTTGTACAGTCTCTTTTGTGCCTTTAATGCTTGAGTCATTCTGTCTCCTGCATTAAATTGACCGAGGGAAGTAAAAACTATAAAATTGATTTGGACTTTAAGCTTTTCTGATTGGCGGTCTAGAGCAGGATAAGGAACGGGGGCTTTTTTAGCAATAAGAGTCTGACACTCCCTCCGGCCTCACCCTGGGCAGGTGAAGTCATTTGAGGATTCTCCCCTCATAAAAAACTCTTCTGATAAAGCATCGCTTTATTTTGATGTATCTAGCTAGTGTTAAAAATCGGTGACGCAATCCATCGTGCCCGGATGATAGCTTTAAGGTGAGCACTAGCCATTTTGCACCGTTGCGTTGTTAAGACAACGTTGTTTTTTATTCTATTATCTATTGCTATTTTATTGTTTACTAAGTCACAGCGAAACATGAAGTGTTCTTCTTTTATATTACTTACATTATTTTCTTCCATTATTTATTAACATAAGTAATCTAAGTTAAAGTGTGGGAGAGCCATGCTTCGGTGCGAATGGGTCAGCTCGACCGGGTGATACCACTGCCTCACAGAAAATTGGCGTGAAACAGCCACAGCATTGTGTTTCGCCGTGTGAATGAAGTTTCTGGAGGCCCAATCCTTCTCCTCCCCCAATCCGTCCCCAATCCCTAATCATCTGTTGCGTGTGTTTATGGGCGGCGCAGATAGCTTACCATCAGGTAATCCGTTTGCTCGTTTCCCAACCTATCAAATAAATAAAAACATTTTCGTTTGTACTTGACACACCTCTTTCACTCGCCTACTTTCGTTGATCTTGTCCGAAATACCGAAACGAATATTTTCAAACGATTTGAAACTGCATTCTATTCTATAAATAGATTTGATTGGAGAAAGTGGAAATTATGACGTTTCATATTCATGATGATGATGAACTGGAAGTTAACGATTGGCAGTGAAGTTTTCCCACGCTCATAAGTAGGTAATTCGAAACCTGACAAGTACCAATGTGACTTTTTCCGAGTTATATGTGTGCTTTCTATGATTATTTTGACACCAATGACGAACATACGGTAAAGGAAATCATTGTGAAGAAACCTGCTCGTATAATTTCTAAGTATAAGTTGGAAATCGTTAATCCACCTTGAGCAAGCGTGGTGATTAAGACTCAAACCTTCTCCGTGTGAGAAGAGGCATTTGCTTAGCAGTGGGCATTTACATTTATATTTAGGTATGGAACATATTTATGTACCAATTTGTGATCCACATTGAAGATATTAATTTATTGATTGATAGATTGAATGTTAATGTTTAATTTTACCAATATGTAGCACATTGAATTAAACAGTGGATATTCAATTCCTAAAAAAATTGAGCACTCTGGTTAAATCCCATACAATTCAAATGTTGAAATAGGTAATCAGAGCTTTTTTAGTATTATAGGACGGTTTTTTTTTAAGATTGCATGTAGATATGCCTAGTAATTATACTTAATGTAATCCTAATCAGTTCAAAACTTTTCTTTTTGGTTAGATCCTTACATTCTTCCCTCATTAATCATAAATCCCATCCTCAGAATATAGAACAAACATCCTATCCCTGCTTTTTACTTCAATAACTTAATTTGTTTTAAAAAAATCTTAACAAAATGTTTTAAATACCCACTTATGTATAGGACGACATTTTATAACACCATAAACAAGTATTGAACTACAAATTTAGGTACCCTATTAAAAGCAACCTGGGCAATACTATATGCGCAGGTCTCAAAAATCGATGCTCGGTTGTATGGTAAAAGTTGCCAACTAAAGGTCAATAACCCGCGGCATGTGCGGTTTTGACCTTAAAGAACTTTATTACTGTAGCAAAGACAGTGAAAGTGGGGGTGCGTCAGTTGGAAAGTACCTTTACATGTACCTATATTCCCTTCAAATATGACGTAGGTATTTTAAAAACAAGTCTATGTTGTTATGCAGGGCAAGCGTTTAAAGCCGATAAAATAAGTAGGTATATCGCACCATTCGTGTAAAAAGGAAGTAAGTGATTTTTACCAACTTTTCAGGAGCTTAAAAAAACTGTCCTATATTTTTATTATGAGGTCTAGAAATAAGTTTCAAAGAGAAAATGCAGGTCACAGTTGCCTTCAACTACACGTGTTATTTAATTGAGGAACAGATTGATGTACTTCGTGATAATCTAAAAAAACACGGTTACTTCTTTGTTCCACGAAATAGATCACATATTTGCAGGAGTAACTACAATTATTGCTTTTTATTATTGTTTTTTTAAATATATTAAGTAATTCAACTCTACTTCTCAAAACATATATCTGTAATCGGCTTTGAGTTTTGTAGTTATAGGTAAACTTGCTTAATTCGTACCTGCGCCTAAATCGTACCTCGTCTATATCTCGGCATGGGTAATAGTTACCAACGCCTCTGATGGCATAAAATGTCAATAATAGTCGGCCAGATTGCCATATGACAAATAAACACCTCTTACGTTGCTCCCGACAAAAATATTGAACGGGTAAGATTTTTCTCACTTTTTGAGTAATTTTTTTGCATACTTCACAAGAACTGTCTTCCAAGTATACCGTTCATAAGTTGTTTAACTGTTTATTATATATTTATACGTATATTTGTGAATATATTTCACATAGTAAAGCCGGCTTGTTCGTTGACAGTTTTTTTTGCGGGTAATTTGAAATTCATTTGATACTTGTGCCTAATTCGTACTCGCAGCAACTTCTTAAAACGTACTTACATACGATTTAGGAAAACAATGTTTAATATCACAGTAAATATTAATTACTTAGTTGATTATTTTTTAGTTTGTGTTTTTATTTAATAAAACCAAAAAAAAAACATTAATTTTATGCAGTAATTGTGAAGTATGGGTACATGAGCTATGTGCAAGACGAGTTAAAAAAACTAAATTTTATTACTGCGATGACTTTCAAGATTTGGAAAAGACCATCCGCTGTATTAATAAGAATTAGGTAATCTAGGTTCATTAAGATTAAAAAGAGTAGAAGATTATTAAGATTGTGATTTTTAAGACAGTAAATCAATGATAGGATCTCACAGTACGATTTAAAAATATACTGGTACCAAATACTGGTATCAAAAACTTAAAAAAAGTACGATTTAAGACCATTGGTCTTAAATCGTACTTTTTTTAAGTTTTTGAAAATTGTTTATTTCTCAGAAGTTTATAAGATTTATGTTATTTTTTATCGGAATACTAATAGAACATTAGTTTAATTATAACTACTTAATATAAATAACTGTGTATCATTGTTCATTTTCAAAATTTTCGAGGTTCTCCTTAAGTGGTACGAATTAGGCAAGTTTACCCTACTATCGTTTGACTTAGATACTATTCCTCGCGATTTAGAAATTTATTTTTTAACAACTATAGGTACTCAAAATATTAATAACAATTCTAATCTACTGAACCTACTGAAGTTTTTCGCTAGAAGAGTGAGAGTTTTTAGCTAGAAATGTGGGAGAGCCAAGCTTCGCCACGAATAAGTCGGCTCAACCGGAGGGATACCACGGCCTCACAGAATACCGGCGTGAAACAACCACAGCGTTGTGTTTAGTCGTCTGAGTGAGGTTACCGGAGGATTTTTACTGTGCCGAAGGCCCCTTCCCCTATCCCTTCCCGATCCTTATATCCGCAACCCTTATCTATCCCCAAAAGGCCGGCAACGCACTCATTTGGTGTTGCGGGTGTCCATGGGCGGCACCGATTGCTTACCATCAGGTAATCCGTCTGCTCGTTTGTCGACTTATACCATACCAGCTACTCTCGCGCGGTTTCACCCGCTGCTCAGCTCCATTTAATCGTAGCGTGATGTTTTATAGCCAATAGCATTTAGGAACCTTGAAGCTATCTATCACTGAAAGAATTTCAGTAATCCGGCCAGCGGTTCCAAAGATTACCCCCTACATACAAACTTACAATTTTTACCTCTTTATAACATTAGTATAGAAAAAAGAAGATTATTAGGTTAAATTCATACCTATGGTAGGTCGACTTTAGAAACTTGTATAAGGTAGGTACATAAGGTAAGGTAAGGTAGGTACAAATAGATTAGTTTCGTTATAGATAAACATTGCTAACTATATCTACCTAAACAATCTCAGTGTTTGAAATTAGTCTCAGTGATAAATTATTCGGAAGTTCTAACGAACTATTGCAAATGATACAAGTCTTTTGAAATTATAATCTCTGTATTTCTATTAAATTAAACAAACACTATAAGTTAAGCGAAGACACTCTTCGTAAATCATACGGAAGCTAGCAGTTCGTACTTATATTAAATGACCGATAACGGCAGTTTATTTGTCATGGCTCCTCGTTCACGTTATTCGCTTGATCGCATGCAATATTTCGCCGCAGGTGCAATTTGCGGATGCGATTTGCCGGGCATGTCAATTTACGAGTCATGTTTTATTATCACGATCTGCTCTTTCGTTGAACTTGACTGACAAGCCTTATTGTACGGTACTTTAAGAATTGTTTAACAAATGCAACGAATATTCAGAATTCTATTAATGTACGAGATATTTAACTTATAATAGCGACATCTGTGATCGTATAGGTTTACTATGTGATTATAGTATCGCCATCTAACGATATTTACTTAAACTAATTTGGTTAATGGACTGTTTTGATAACAATTTGACATTTAGTTTTATGTTGCCAATTTATGAAATAAAAGCTACTAAAATCATTCAAACCATACAAAACTTTCCTTTTTTATTTATATTAAATGAAAACATAGCTCTCAGTTATTATTATACATAAATAATATGATTTTATTGATAACCTTGATCCGCGAAAACTTTTACATTGACAAATGTTATTTTATTGTAGCGTATGGCAATGGTAGACTCACGGAGAATAAATTAACAACACTAGGCTGCGGCTGCCATGATTTGGCGTTTGTCTTGTCATCTATTAGTGCATCGTCTAGAAAATTACAGAAATGTTTTATGAAAAGCTTTATTGGGTGCAACTGTTCTTAGTATCTATTTTAATTAGTTCTATTGTAGCAGAATGGAACACAAGGGATTACATAAGACGAGAACATTCTCTCACAAAACCGTACCAAGGTGAGTGACCCCTTCCCGGTGACTTTGATCTTACGACGAATTTGCACTAACAATAAAAATTTATCAATTAACTACAGGAGGCGGGTATTCGGTGCCTTATTGGGACTTCTTAGGTAACACGATAGTGACTTCGAACTACGTGAGACTAACTCCCGATCTGCAATCGAAGTCAGGAGCAATTTGGAACACAGTCGTAAGTAAAAATTTCTGTTTAATTATAATTGTGTGAATAAATGCATGTTGATAAGGTGTTATTAATGTAAATATAGACACAGTGCCACGAGGCGGCTAATCTGTACCTAGAGATAAGCTGAACGAAGTTGGCAAATTCTCATAATTCTACATACAATTGAGTCACAATACAATGTAGTTGCTATCGTCTTCCAACGTTCTCACATGCCTTTTCAGACAGTGTTTATTCAGATGTTTTATTTATTCTCACTTACTAAATGATTTGAATATTCAAATTACAATTATATTAATATTGTTTGCCGACCATCCACATTATTCAAAACAGTTAACAAGGTTTGCATTTTATTTGCGTCGCTTAGGCAGAAAAGGTAGTAGTATAGACATTTATAAATGCTGTCAATACTGAGAGTATAGGGAATATCAAAACATCCACTAGGGAATATCAAAACAAATGACCTACCCAGATTTTTAAAACATTTTTTACCTTTAGACCAAGTAGTTCAATGGTACTGGCTTAGCCTTTCTGATAATAACAGATAAAAAAACTAAAATAGTTTATGTCTTGAAAATGGAAAAGTCATAAAGATAACTACTGCAGTCTATGCTGTTGTATAGGAAATTGGTTTTTGTAGCTTCTATATATTTTCATTAAATTATTAAAGTTAAGACCTCGCATTTGTTTATGTAACATACCACCTATGTAACATAAGTTTCTGATAAATATTTGTGGCAGATGATTACACAAGTTACATTCTTAATTTAAATTTATTTGGTAAATAGATATTATCTTGATACTGTGTAACAGGCCCTTAGTAACTGAGTTACACATGCTATTCTCTACCACGGTTTAACGAAGATCATAAATTGATAATGTTATGGTAATAAGGCTAAAGTATTGCTAACTAAATACTATAGTTTCCAATGAGTAGTCAAATTCAATACTTTTATTGAAATGTCAAAAACTTTGTTGTTTTAAATTGCAACTCCAATGTTCTAAAAATTGGTAGAAAACTCTAAACTAAACCTAATTACACTGATTAGTCAATTAATGTCAAAAAATCCAAAATGAAATTAAATCAATTAGACCCTTACAGGCACTTGAATGTCGAACAAAATTTTAAAGATATAAAGTGTCAGTCTGTCGGTCAGTCTTCTTAGTGAAACTATTTGCTTAATCCAAAGTATGTTGTGATGTGGAGAAGAACTAGCAAGAAACTGCATGGTTTAAACAATATAATCATTTTTTATCAATTTTATTTATTAAATCTAAAATTCTAAATATTGTACTAATACATTAGCAAAAATATTATAAAATATGATATTTTATTTACATTAATTTTGTTCCTTTTTGTTAATATTGAGCCTGGTAATAAATACAAAAAAAAATTCTTTTGTATTCTACTGAGGTGTAAATCACAAATGAACAAAGAAACAAATGAATCCAGTTCATATCCTACCTAACACAAGAATGCTTTGTTTTGCTGATTACAAAGTCAATAATGTTATAAGGCTATTAGCCTTATGTGACATATCTACCTATACTTATCATTACAATACTAGTGATCTACCCTAGTTTCACAGTTTCTATATACGATATAAAGTATATTTCTTTTTTCATTTTATTCCAGTAGTTGAGAAAGGTTTAATCTACATTTCAGCATCTAATTTTTATTTATAGGTATCTTCTTAATCTACATTTCGGCAATTTTTTTTTTATAACTATAAAAAATCCTAACTATTATAATGTTAACTGCGACTACGGCCATGCATATAATGAAAAATAGTGACCTATATCATTGATACCATAAAATCATTTTAACATGATGTGGAAGCAAAGTAAACCAACAGACTTTCGCATCACATATCTATTAGTAAGTATTGATAAGAAAACAAAGGTGTGATTCACCATTAATGTATGACTGCATTGGATTTTAACCAGAACTATGTTATTTATAAACAGATTTTTATTTATTGTTATTACATCAACATCCTGTATTTTTAACTAAAACAATTTTATTCACTGAAGCAAAATAAGTTTAACATCACTGTATTCTTAGTGGTTCAGAATGCCCAATTAAAAATTAGGTTAATTTCCTCAGTCATTAAATATGCGTGTGTTATTCCGTCATTTGATGATCTACAGCATAAAAAAATTCTAGTTCTCTTTTAAAAATACCCATGCCAAACTATTTGAAGATATGTTGACAGCCATAAGTTTTTATTTCATATAAAATCTATAGAAAATAATAATTTCAAACTTTGAAACAAGTATTGAATTTAAATAACAACTACCACCATATGGTTAACCAGACTCAACTCTAAAGCCTAAAAACATTTAAAAAATATCCTGACCTTCATACATTTGTTTGGTTTCGAAATGAGAGTAATTATCCAGTACAAGGTTACAAACTCTCCATCTAAATTGTAATCTAACATAAAGGAATAGAAATCAAAGTTGTATGATGCAATGTATAGTTATTTAAACGCTGTGTTATGCTCAATTTCAATGGAGTTTCAATAGGCTTTCACGGTTCATAAACATTTGTTTTGAACTGAATTAGTTTTACATTTGCAAACAATACCTAGTCATAAGTTACTCTTGTTATAATAATTTATGACATAAGATATTTATGTTATGTACTTATACAAAGCACACATGTACGTTTTGTGATTTACCAGTCGAACAGAAACCTTTGCATTGCTCTACACTATAATCTATCTATGCCAAATTTCATCCTTACTTGTTCATTAGATTTGACGTGAAAAAGTTACAAACACCGATCCAACCATACTTGGGGTGAGCGCAATGAGGCACCGCGACCTCGGCCCAGAGCAGGAGAAGGAACACTCCCTGCCGCCCGGCCCTGGGCGGGAGAAGTCATTTGATGATTTTCCCCTCACAAAAAAAAACCATACTTCCAAACTTTCTTAACTTCTGGTGCAATGCGGGTACTTAATTCTCCATTATTTAATGGATGTTATGTCTACATACAACTTCCTCTTCTGAAAAAACCGCATCACAACATCTTCGGCCACTATGTTTGAAAAAACCGCATCAAAATCCGTTGCGTAGTTTTCAAGATTTAAACAAACATTAAGGATATAGGGACACAGAAAACGATTAAGTTTTATAATATTAAGTGATACTGATTATGACTGACTAGGATGAGGTGTACACTGTATCACGAAGGGAGGCTATAAAATATAATCCTAGCACCAATAGGAGCCAAGTAGGTGCAGTAAAAGCGCGCTCGAGTAGAAACAAAATAAAAAGGCGAGCCAGTTGCCATGCGTAGCAATTTGAATCCTGTAAGACATTTGGAACCCAACTCCTTGATTAAAATTGTACATTCTGGCCTACCTATTTTTTTAATGTGTAATATGTATTTTAATTTAAGAATATTATAACATTTTATTCTCGTTTAGTTTCCTGGGTCAAAAATAAATTGTTTCGATGTTACAATGCTTACAATCAATCAATCAATCAATTAAAACAATCATTCATAAATTTAAATTTTTAGTTTTTTCCTTTTTTAAAAAAAAATAAGCATGCTATTTGACTTAAAATAACTATGACGTCCTATGTTGCGATTTTATACAAAATGTATTGAATTTGACTAGAAACTATCGTCTTATATATATTTCCCTATTCCCTGTACCTCAAAACGATAACAATGCACCTTCGGAATATTCATTTATATAATATCCTATACAATTGAATTAAAATTTCCTTATCAAATAATTCGACTTTGAGGTTTGCGATAAAGAAATAATAGTACTTACTAAACCCGAATTAACTAGGTATCTTAATTTACGTACTAGTTTATACAGGCTATTGTTAGTTCAGAGAATAAAGTATACAGTGATATTTTTTATTTTTATTATACATATATAAATGAAATTTTATATCATGCTTCACAAGGTTTCTTTACGATATGGAACCTGAGCATACATTTTATAGTGTGCTATAACACATAGGCTGCTTCATACCCCGACATAATAATATGTTAAGAGCAGTAGAAGCTGCTTTGCTTTGGTATAATATGTGCCACCAAGTTTGCAACATTGCCCAATGTTTGGCACGCCTCCTTTTGCCATTAAAAATATGATAAGATAACAGAACAGTTATGGTGATCATAAACCTTGGCTTGCACTATAGTGTATGTGCAATGGTCGGCTAATCAACCTACTCAAATCTGTAGTTCATTGTATTTTCAACTTTATCTCAAAACAATAAAGTTGAAAGTAGAGTTAAATTCATTTAAGAATGGTATAGGTTGATCTGCGGGCCACTGTAGTTTTGTAATTAGATCAAACCATTACCATTAATCACCAGTAGTTGGAAGGTAATGATTCTAATGAACTCCTAAGGTCAAGGAAATAAAATTCTGCTTTTTATAGACACTATAGTGAGGTTTTTGTGTCAAGGATAGGAAGGAAAAATGTTACCTACCAACTTTAATAAATTATAGATAGAAGTACAAAAATAAGTTGGGTTAATTGGGTTTTTCAGCATTAATTTTGAACTTAGGCTGGCATGTTAACTGGAACTATTATGTCGAAACTAATTCAATATATATAACTTTAAAACTCTATAAATTAGAAATACTTATTTTTTTTATTGAACTCTTAATTTTTGCCAATGGTTATTCCATTCTCTAATCTATCTATGCAAATTTTCATCAGAAGTTTTTACGCTTTTCCATACTTACAAACTTTCTCGTTTTATAATATCGAGTAGTAGGAAAGGCACATAAGACACAAAAAGTACGGAAGACTTTTCAAAAAATATAGTAATTAAAAACTAAATAGCTATTGGTTACCAAAATAAATATATTATAATAAGGAAAGTACCTACATATAGTCTATGGGATTAGGTGGTTGACTAAGGTCTCATATAATACAATACAAATATCATTTAAATTTAGCTTACATGGAATTTTTAGACAAATTTCTATAAAAAGACATGCTAAGATTGTTTTAATTTATTACCTAAACAGATAGACCATAGGCCCCTTTTCATTTTTCAAATACAATTGAATAGATAATACCCGACAAAAATAACTTATGTAAGGTACATTCCACTTTGTTTGTTTATTTACATAAGTAATCGAAACTAGCAATGAACTTAAAACCTATTTACTTAAATAAATACTTATAATTTATATAAATAAACAATATTTGTTTAATATGTGAGTCATTTGTGATACTGATAACGTTTTGTCTGCTAATATCGTAGCAGTTACCTACTGTAAGTTGAGGAGTAAATTTAGAACATCGTTCGTTGCTCTGCGAATGGAATGTCGATATGAGATGTGTGGTGTGGTATTACTAAACTTATTATGTTATTATAATGTGTTATTAAAATTATAATTATAACGTGAAGAAAAGACAGAGTTACTTTCGCATTTATATTATTAGTATAGATATATATATATATATTATTGTCGTTTTGACATTTTGCATTTGACTAGTTGGAAACTACCGTATTTCTTGATCGAGAGTTTAAGCGGTAGCATAGAGTTATTACGTTTAGATATGGCAATTTTAGTTTCACTTATTACGTCGGATTCATAACAGAACAAGTAAATAGTGAATGTTACATCTCATAATTACCTTCAAGCATCCTACCTTATCCAGAATTAGATTATGTTATAACTTTGATGCCAATTAGATTGTTTTTTATTTAAATGTAAATACATAGCATCCAAAAACCTCTACCCCCTTATTACAAAACAAGGTTTATCTTTAGTCCAGAGTGCCTAGCACGAATGACTATCGTAATCGTAACGTTAACGTATCGAGACGTCGATACTTCATGTGACGAAAACGGAATGTCGCAGCACGAAGCCTATCGTATCGTCTAGCGAGAGCTCGAATCGAATTCGTTAGTGACGTCATGCTAATGTAAGCTAGAGAAGCACCGAAGTGAACGAATTGAATGAATTCTTGAACATAATTTAACATAAAGATTTCGTCTGAAAACTAAAATTAATTTTAAACATATTTCAACCTTCGTCTACACCTTTTATGGTATTATATTTAAATGAAAAAATATATATTACGTGAAAGAATTCTTAAAACGAGTCAAGAAGTATATAAAATGACTTTATCTTTGAAAAAAATATTATTTGGTTATTTAAATTTTGTAACCTAATTTACGATTTCCGAACGTTCTTTTGACAAAGGTGATTTGACGGCTATTGACGTATTTTTTTTTAACAAACAAAACAAAGAATGTAGATAAGTAATTATGCGGCTATCTTATTATGCGGTTACTTTAAATTTATTTTAAAATGAGGAGGACTCGGCTCCAATACGAATTAATGGTGGATTTCATGGAATATGCCAGTGACAAGCAGCGAGCCTTCAGTGTTCCGACCACTCCGCAGTACCCATGAAGCCAGCCGTTCACCGACACCACCAGTCGCCAATCCTCCATTAGAAAAGGAATGCTGGAAGCCTCGACCGAAAACAAAAATGTAAAGGGAGTTTAATCAAATTGTGTTTAGAGAATGATAAGAAACCTAGGGAGTTTGCTAGGGAGCGTGAGGAAACATATGATATAATGGAACAAGAGCGTTTGGAATTACGACGAGAAGAATGAAGAGTAAGACAGAGAGATGCAGAGCTCCTTTTACAGGCTCAGTGGCTGGAACTTTTGAGAGAGGCAATAAATGTAATAAAATATAATCTAGTTAAAAAGATGATTAATGTATATTTACATATTTTATTTTAATTTTAATGTATATTACTACATTTTGGAATGAGGAAAGATTATGTTAGAATTGAATTTAAAATGTCTCACTATAGTTACCTATTATAAAAACATAGGTAAGAATAGTTTTTAAGTTAGATTAGTGTGTAAGATGTTTTGGAAATGTATAATAATAAAACACTTGGGTCATCTGTGTAGTATATTTATTTGCTGTACCAGAATATTACTTAAAGCCCTTTCACTTATCAAATCATCGCTTCTATCATTTTCATGTCTCATATCAGAAGATGAGGTATGAGACAAGTCTTGATGTTCAGCGTTGTATCTACCTGTGGCTCAGGCACATTGAAATTTATGACCAAATTATGCAACACGCAGCAAGCCGTTGTCAAGCACATTTTTCAGGAGCATAATTCAGAGTGCGGTCTTTGCACAAGCATCACCTCTTCTTCTTTTACCGCAGTATATTGTGGCCCGGAGTTCCCTCTACCGCATCCAAAATGAGAAGCGTCATTAGCCATGGTCGCTGTGGGTAGCCAGAATCACCTGTAAAAAAATACTTATTAGAAAACCTAATTTATACTAGCTACTTCCTCGCGGTTTCACCCGCTGCTCGACTCCTATTGATTTCATTTTAGCATTATAAGGTGAGTTTTTTGTTGGAGTTGCTCACAGAAGTACTTGAAGGCTTCTTTATTTAGGCGGTACCTAGTATTTCTAAACTACGTTTCAGTGATATCCATTGGATTAGATATCTTTCTGAATTTAGCTCGGCACACGATTTCTTTAGAATAATCAGTTAATTCGTATTATTTTCTTGAATACATATGTATGTGTATATTAAGTGAAACATAACTTGAATAGGTAGGTACTTACGAAGTTTCTCTTGACTCTTCATCTCCAAGTAAAATAGCCACAAATAAACTATTTCTCCAACTTGGTTCGTACAGCGGCGGTTTTGCGTGATGTTATACTCGTAAAGGATACTCACAAACCTTATAATATATTATTTAAAACACGATTGAAATATTTCGAAACCTTTCTCACCGTCAAATTCTTAGTGACAAATGTTTCGACAGTTTTCGATAGCCAGCCTTCGAAACTTACGTTACTATACGTCAAAAGATCGTTCGTGCTTCCAATTTGTGTCAAAATGTTCTAAGTTTCGATAGCAACACGATACGATTACTATACGATAGTTGTCAAAATCATTCGTGCTTGCGATTTTTAGTTCCTTTTACGCACGGTAGGGGCGCTGTACAAATCCCATAGAAAATGCTTTCGATCTCGATACGAATACTTTCTCGATAATGTTCGTGCTAGGCACACAGGTTTAAACCATTGAGTCGGGTTTTGAATTTTGAATCTTATTGTCATCTACCTTCAATTCGAAATACAAAAACTGGCTCAGTGGTTTAGTCCTAGACTAAAGTAAAACCTTATTTTGTAATAAGGCCGTTTAGGTTTAAACTTTTGCTATCATGAGAGTCATGATAGCAATCCATAGCCAATATTAAACTTGTTTAAAAGTGTCATTTTAACTCTAAACAGATGGACGGATTTTGGTACGAACTTTTTCGTTAATTTTGATCATAATTAGCTTGGTGAACGAGAAGACGCATTACCTGATGGTGAACAATCAGCGCCTCCCATGAACACCCGCAACAAAAGAGGAGTTACGAGTGCGTTGCTGACCTTTTGGATATTAGAGATTGGGGGAGGGAAAGGATTTCGCATCCGGTTACCTCACACGGCGAAACAACGGTGTGGTCGTTTCACGCCGGTATTCTGTGAAGCCTTGGTATCACTCCGGTCGGGCCGACCCCACTTAAATTTTATATCGTAAGTTGCCTAACTTACCTAAGTAATTTTATTTTATCATTTCAGCCATGTCAAACTCGCAACTGGGAGCTTCAAGTTCAGTTCAAAGTCCACGGGCGTGGTAAGGATCTGTTCGGCGATGGATTCGCGATATGGTACGTCCGCGACCGTATGCAGCCGGGTCCCGTGTTTGGAAGCAAGGACTACTTCCAGGGGCTGGCCATCATACTCGACACTTATAGCAACCACAATGGTGCTCACAATGTAAGTTTTATTAAGGTTTTTTATGGTGGCAAGATCAGACGTAGGTAGGTATCACCTGATGGTACACTCGCTTCTTGTTTCGTTTCATTTGGAAGAAATAAAAGTCATTCATTTGTCGCTATTTGAATTAAAAAGAGAATTATTATGTGATTGGTCGTGTTGTGTGTAGCGACCGCCAAGCGATGGAGCTCGCTTATGTTTCTGGTTCTGGCAGAATATCTTTTTAATATTTCAGAAAATTATTATTATTAGTTTAAATTGGTACCAGTGACTACTATGTCCTACAAGTATAACAATAAACTCGCTGAGTTTTATATGAAACTAGCAAAAACTAAAACCAAAGTACTTTAATTCACATAGCTACCTTCCGTTAAAATTGTTTTCGACGACCAACATGATTTTATCAGGAGCAAGGAGCTAGTATAATTTCCCTTAGGCAATACTTTCTTGTCATGAAGCAAATATGTCCTAAACAATATATTGAATTTGTTACTGTCTTCCTCCAGCACCAGCACCCGTACATATCGGCGATGATAAACAACGGGTCGCTCCACTACGACCACGACCGCGATGGCACGCACACACAGATCTCCGGCTGCGAGGCCAAGTTCCGAAACTATAATCACGATACTCACATCTCTATTACTTATGTCGACGATACGCTTACTGGTAAGTTTGGGCTTCTGTAAATGATAAATAGAAGAAATATATCAACATCTTTGCCCCCCTTGGCCGGGTCTCATCTCATAGGAGTCCACATAGGCTACACATCCCAAGGTCTTCATTACAAAGCCTAATAAGTACCAAGGCTTGGCATGAAGCATAGGGCCTAGGGCGAGCTTGTTTCACTTGAAAGCGATTAGCACTTCTATAAAGTTCGGCGCCCTAATTGGCCGGCTGCAAGTTAACAAATACATCAGTATTTCGCGTTAATATAAAGAAAACTCGCACCAGGTTCTCAGAAGTTGGAATGGGGTGCTGTTTTTTCAGTAAGATTCTGAGGTAAACGGCAAAGTTTTTAGTAAGTCAGAAATTGAGGTAAACATGATGGTTTTAGTCAGTCAGAGTCTAGGTAAATGGGATGGTTTTTAGACATTCGGAATCTGAGACCCCATCATGCTTAACTCTCTGCGGATGAGGTATGATGATTTGACAGAGACTGGGTATCATGTCATCAAATTAATTCTTCTGCCCGTGGTGAGGCTAAAAGGACTGCCAGACAGACAGACGGGCAGACAAAACCACACTATTACTTCTATTAAGTACTCCGACCTGGGCCTCAGAAAATCATTGCCCTTTCACTATAATCAATAAATTCTTTATCCTCTCTCCAAACTCGGGAATAGATATACCTCTAACTGTAAAGGTCCTTTTTTTGTCAGGGGAAAGTCATCCAATGACTTCTCCCGCCCAGGGTAAGGCGAGAGAGAGTGTCAGACTCTTACTGACTAAAAACCCTCCCGTTCCTTCTCCTGCTCTGGGCCGAGGTCGCGGTGCCTCATTGCGCTTACCCCGCAGCCCCGGCTAAACATCAGCCCTTTAAGGCCCCGACTGTGGTGGTCTATTGGTACAGTAAAGGTCCTAACAAGTTTATTTTTCCCTCGCAGTATCAACAGACTTAGAAGGCAAGAATGCGTGGAAGGAATGTTTCAAAGTAGAAAACGTCTTACTGCCGACTGGGTACTTCTTCGGTGCGTCCGCCACCACGGGAGACCTCAGCGACAACCACGACATCATCGCCATCAAGATGTTCGAGCTTGACCTGCTGGAGTCGGTGAGTACATTTTTTTTATGGTTTTAAATAGATCTAATACCTAAAACTTACTGCCAAAAGTAATGTCAAATATTATTAGTACTTTTGGCACGATCCTAATTCAAACGGCTATCAAACTACATCACTAACGACGATACGATTATTTATATGTGAAACGGCAATTGAGTTGACGGATTACCTGATGGTAAGCAATCAGCACCGCCCATAAACACTCGCAACAAGTGCGTGGCCGACCTTTTGGCGATTATGTTCGCTACTTCCCAATTTTACCAAACAAAACAAATAAAAAACGCAACAAAAATAAGAATTGGAATAACATTGCAGGCGTTTTTGAGTTATGCATTTCCAAAACCTTTTTTTATTGTTATAGTTACAAGACAGTCTTTTTACTATTCTCGCAAAAACTCTTACACCGTACCAAGATTTTTTACGTTCAACACCTATATTTACACTATCATTACCTTCCGTAATACAAGTTTCTCTCAAGAGTCTAACACAATATCCAATTTTTACTTTTACAGCAAAACAAAGACGAAGACCGTTCCCAGATAATTCCCTCCGCTGCATCGTTCGAGGCTCCTCGCGAGAGGGTCGAGGACTCCAAACCAGCCATGTCAGGAGTGAAAACCTTCCTATATATGATGGCAATAGCAATTGTTATCATAGTACTAGTCGTTCTAGGCATCATGTACTACCAAAAACGACAGGAACAAAGCCGAAAGCGACTTTATTGAAGAGCTAAAAATAAAAATAAATTGGTTTCAAAGACATTCCCATATATTTTTTTCTCTTATTCAATGAGGGTAGTTGTACAATTGATATGTTTGCCAAAATTTCATACTTAGTGAAATTAATTTGTAATTCGTCTCGTTGTGTTTAAAAATGGAATGCCAGATATTCCTATAACTGTCATGAAAAATTAAAAAAGGAACAAGACATCAATTGTGACGTTAGCACTTGAAATTTGCACATGCCAGAGCGAGACAACGATTTTACAAGCCATTTCAATCCCGTGTTCAATTGAATTCTTTATTGTGTTCATTTCGCAGCCAAATTGTTAAATTAGCCATCCAGAAAACGGTCTGAATGACTTGTCTTGATTAATTTGCTAAATATCTTAGTCAGGTTGTAAGTTGAAAGGTGAAGGGATTGGCATGAGAACCGATTTGCTACCAGAATGGTAGGCTACAACAACACATTAGGTTAGAACTGTGAACCCACACAATTAGAATCGTCATGGCATATAAACAGGTATTCAAATTTTACTGATTGATTGATCGGCTATTTTAACCAGTTGGCTATGACATTTATATTGTTATAAGATACTACCCCATTAAGGTCAAATACATATATGGTTAAAGAACATTTTATCAATTAAAAGGAATGTCTGAAAGTAAACAGGTGATTTTTGCGGTGGTAGATTTGTGAGTGATTGAGATAGCGATATACGAGAAGGAAGCGTTGGAAAGAGACAGCGTCTCTCACTAAAAAAGGTACCAAGTTTTTAACGTTGTGTTAATATTTAATAATGTAAAAGCAATATGGTTTCTTAGTTACAATTACTTTATAACACCAAGACTATTTATTCTATTACAAATTTATGAAACTTAAAAGACTAATTGTAACGATATTCTAAGATTTGTAACTCCAAATATTTATGTATTACTTATCTAAAAGACTTTTGAGGCGGGTAGTCTCGACAGTGATATGCACAGAAATCGCTAAGTCAGAAAATAAACTTTATTAGAAAAGCATATAGCTTAAAATCTATTACAGAAATTGTCGACTTAACCTCCTATTTCTTGGTGATCAATGTCGAGACTACCGGCCCAGGTTTTGTGTTATTTATAATATAGTACTTCAGTTTAACTTTAATATGCTCAAAGGCATCAAATATCAAAACTTAAACATTCTAAATAAAACAAAAATGGGATTCTTTTCATTATAAAATAAAAAATGCAGTAAAGTCCTCTTTCGACCGTTTGAAACACTACTGATTATAAGCTAGAAACACACTTTTAAAACGGGGCGGGAAGGAGTGTCAGAGACTCTTATTGACTAAAAACCTCCCTCGTTCCTTCTCCTGCTTTAGTATGAGGCCGTGGATCCTTATTGCGCTTACCCCGCTACCCTGGCTAATTATCAGCCCTATATGGCCCCGCCTGTGGTGGTCTAATGGCTCTTTGAGGCGCGTGGAACGCAACGCGTCGTTACGGTCAGCCGGGGTTGTGGCTAAGCGCAATGAGACACATCGGCCTCTGCCTAGAGCAGGAGAAGGAACGGGGGGGGGGGGGGGTTTAGTCAGTAAGACTTTGACACTTCTCCCGTCCGACCTTAGGCGAGAGAAATCTTTTGATAATGTGCCCTCACAAAAAAACCTAACTTTGAAACTAAAATCCGATACTCTGTAATTAGTATTTTAGTATCTGTACATTGGCGTTTAAAACTATATTAAAGTCGCCAATCGTAATTTCGTTCCATCATAACGTCATCAAAATGTGTTTCTAGACTTATTATCACAACGACCTAAAGACCCTAAATGACACAATTATGAACCTAATGTACCTATAACGGTATAAAAATCATTGTTATTTATTCGAAGAAATCTCATGACAACTTTTTATTTATGGTTGTTTGTGGTATTTTATTATTTAGGTTTAATTACATCATAGTCATTAAATAGCTCAAGCGATATGGTCATAGACGTTGAGAATGGTATGTTGTTATCCTAACATGGTCCAACTTCAAAATCCATAGTCGAGAGAAGCTTTTTTTAATATAATATGATGGATTATATTATAAACCCTACCTAACATAGAATTACATCGATGACTTAGAATTTGTGGATCACACATGTTGTTTCAATGAGAATCGAACCCGCGAAATGTTTCACAGCAGCTAGTTACCCAGCCACCGACCATGCAGTCAAAACATTCATCAGTTGATTTTTGTCATGAGCTGAAATAACAAGTTGTTACTCGACTTAGAACTTTTTTGGTACGGAATAAAATACATTTTCTATTCTCTTAAAATCTTCATTTGAAAGTTAACTTTGCGCACAGGTAATAAAGTTGAATTTTACTTGAACTTCCTCACTAATAGAAATTCATTGGACAATTGGGACAACTGCCCATTCTTTATGCCTATTTACCATTCGATGTTATTTTGAATATCGATAAGTTTGACTGCATTTAAATCATTGTAATTTGAGACTAATATGAAGCAAAAAAAAAATTTATTTCTATCTTAAAAAGTATAGTTTATTCTTCTGATAAGGTGTAGATTTCCAAAATACAATTTTAATGCAGTCGAATAGACTATATTTATTTATGTAGTGTTTTAAGTACATAAAAACTATTGATTCTGTTGTCCATCTAACTATTCAGTCTTTATTTTTACGGTAAAAGAAAAATAATCATTGATATGTTTTCATCTCTTTTTAACGTTTATTGTTAGAAAGAGATAATGATTTTTCTTTTGTTTTTAGACGTAGTGTTCGGTATTTATCGTACCATATAAGGACCATGGCGCCCAAAGCTGGCGAAGAATTTCTTGAGACTTAAGACTTGAAAAAGTCTCGATTAAAAGCTGTGACAATCACTACTGGCTATCATTATTGTAGTAAAGAAAAATAAAACTTAAAAAAGATTGTGTAATTTGTAAAATGAACGCTAAAGTAATGGAATACAAGTCAAAATTGCTTGACATAACAGGAAATTAGGTTTGTTTTACATTGACTGACTATTTTGTGTACAACAGAATCGATATTATCAAACATTAAATACGGTATAGTCATTATTTTTATTTCTTATTCTTGCTCAGTATATCGAGAAATAGTTACAATTATTTTCTTCTTTTCTCTCATTATAAGTTGAACTTAGAATTTACCACCAACAAAATAAAAAAAAAATGTAGAACCATTTATTGGAATAATAATGGCAAACATTAGGTCTACTATCGATGGCAGTGTCGACGTCGTTATCCATAGAAAGAGGTAGAGGTAGCTAAATCGTAAATAATTTTAATAGAATTTCAACCTTACTTTTCAACATTATCATCACTCGGAAGAGGTCCACTGACAAGTCGCTACCTACTCGCATATATTGGCCTTTATTCAGTCCTTTGAGCGATGTGGCCTGCCCATTGCCACTTCAGCTTGCTTTAAGAAGTAGGTATGTCGGTGACTGTGGTTCTTTGGCGAGTATCAACCTCATTTGTGTACATTTCAAAATCTATTATTGACAATATTTTTGATTTAGCAACCGACTAGACATTCAAGCGTCTAAGCTTCCACAAGTCTTATGTGTCCGATAAGTCATTACCATCCGTATGAAATGTGTCAAAAATATGCCAGTTAAGTTATCATAAATATTATTTGGTAGTTTTCAAATAGGTCATTAACCGTCATTAGTCAAATTACTTCGATTTTGTCATAACGATATCTAAATTTTTCTAATTAGTAATTTTGTTTACACGAAAATGCGTCCATCACAAGTTTAAATAGAATTTAAGAAACCGAACGAAGTTTATTTAAAGATAAATAAACTTCGATTTGAACACATTCATTTAAAAAAATAAGTCCGACATCCAATATTGTCAGCACTTCAATGTGGTCAGGTTTAAAAGAAAAACAAATGAGTTTCGAATTTCGAAATAATGTTCTTTTACATGTTATTGTAAAACAGCATAATTCAAGTTTGTTATTACATATTAAAATAATAATAATTTATCTTTAAGTGGTTTACATTTGAACGATTTTCCACACTGGTAATTGCATAGTTTACAAATTACGTAAATTAAGAAAATATTTATTTATACTATAATTTAGTTCCTTTTGAAATAAGTGTTAAAAATGGTTCATTTGTAACGTAATCATTAGTTTATATGGACGAATGATGTATGTGTGTTTAAATAAAATATGGTTTATATAAACTTTTCACTGTGTGTTTTTATTTTTAAATTAGTTCCTTTTTATGCGATATCATATAAGCAATTGGGATCTCGTATGGTAATATTTTAAAGCCGACTATGAATTATAAGAGGTCATTTTGTAATATACCATGCTTGTTTTGAAAAAGGCAACAAATCCGGCACCATCATTAAAGATGTTGATAACAAAACATTGAAATAAACTCATCCAACTGCTGTGGGTATTCATAGTTATGTACTTTGGTCATATTTTAAGACTGCACGGTTGGCGCGGTGGCTGGATATGTCGCGGGTTCAATTCCCGCATCGAATAACTGTTTGTGAGATTCACAAATTGTTCATCCGGGTCTGGGTGTGATGTTCATGTGAGTACCTATGTAAACGCACCTAGGAGAAAAGACAACGTTATTATATAGGGACTGAGTATGTCCTTATAAGAGAAGGTATCAGGCGAGATTACTATGGTTTGGAAGGGCTTACATTACAAGGCTACATTTCAAGTTTTTATATAAACTTAAAAGAATGTAAATGACACCCGTATTTTGGACTACAGCTTTTTTAACTTTTGGAAGTTTTGATGGTAGAGACCATTAAATTACCAGCTTATGTATTATATTTATAATTATTATCCATTTGAAATTATGAATGAAAGAAATAGCCTTAAATCTAATGCTCTAAGATTTATTTAATTCTTCCATGTTATTTTTTTTTCATTGTGAGTTCTAAGCATAGACAAAGATGTTGTTTGAACCAAAGACTAAATTATTATCACCGTTGTCAAACTGTCAATGTCAAAACAACGCGAAGATCAAGATTGTGCTGTTGTGCGCTTTGCGATTTATTGAGCGGAATATTTGTAATTAAAAAATATTCCACTGTGTCTCATCTTATTAACTGTGTGAAAATAAGGCAGTTTGCCTTGCAAGATGATGGACGCAAAATCATTCCTGTACTCTTGGTGTGCGAAGAAAGGAATAACGCCGGTTTACGATATCCGGGCTACAGGTATGGAAAATTACTGGAAAAGTATATCATTTAAGAACTGAAACTTCAACACTCAACTTTATTCACACACGCATGAAGAAACTATGATATAAATGCTCGATATTAATGCTGTATAAAATCGATAATTTTGCTCGTTTAACCTGTGTGGATGTTTAACGAGTTAATAAAAAGTAAATAGGCACAAAAAATAGGCTCTCAAGACAACAAACTTTCATTGTATGGCGTTTAATTATGTGATTAATATGTTATAAATTTTTATATTTGCAAAATACTAAAAAAACTAACCTCGACATTGCAGGACCAAAGCATCGTCAGCGGTTTTTATGCGAAGTTCGTGTTGGTACTATCACTTATGTCGGCGCGGGAAACTCCACAACGAAGAAGGATGCCCAAATGAATGCATCCAAAGACTTTGTTAGTTACCTGATAAGGTCTGGAGAGGTTGATGCGGAAGAAATACCAGAGGAGACCAGAGCCGCTGTTAAGATTGAAGATGATAACAAAGCTGGTGGAAGTTCTAATGACCAGCAGCAACCTCAACAACCAAAACCTGTGTTTCAGGTTTGTATAAAAAGCTATTACGCCTGAAGTATAATATAGTATAGTGTCGTGACACCACAGACAGGCAGCTGAGCTTGCGCAGTAAGGGACTGCAGCCTTGGTAGGAGAAGGAATAGGTTTTTAGTCAATAGGAGTTTCATACTTCCTCTCGCCTCACCCAGGGGGAAAGAAGCTATTTGATGAATTTTCCCTCATAAAAAAAGAATACAAAATCCATAGCATAGTAATTCCTTGTGTTCATACTGAATCCAGGGGAAGGTATCTTGGTAAATAGGTTATTGTTATAATCCATTTACTTTTAGGATCCTGCTCCACAAAGAAATAGGATACCAGAACTTGATAAAAATTATCAAAATGCTGTACTATGTGTAATTTAAATAAGTATGTAAATTATAGATAAATATTTATTATTTTTCTAATGCTTACAGGAGGGTATGGGGCCTGAAATGATGGGTGAAGCGTACCAAGCTTACAGCGGCCAGAACCATTCCTCGAACTTTACGTATATAGACCGCATGCAACAGCAAAAGAATGTCGAAGAGGCTGAGGAGATGGACATCAACGCAAGCCTCCATGGAAACTGGACTATGGAGAATGCAAAGTCCAAACTTCACCAATTTCTACAAATCAATAAGATCAATACGGACTACATGTACAAAGCGGTTGGTCCAGACCATACAAGGTTAGTGTTTCATTTCTTTACCTCTAAGGCAATTAATAACTCTTATCAACAAAAAATATTCATTAAAAATCATGCTTATAATTGCTTATTTGCCGACATGCTGAGTGTTAGCAATCCATTAATTAACAACCTAACAAAACCTGTCACAAATTTTAATTCATTGGATCCCAAGAGAATGACCGTGTTCATGCACCTATTTTTGTTCTATTGTGTGTCTAATTACCACTATTGGAAGGTTAATCCCATCATGATTTAATTAATTTACTAACAAAATTAATAGTCATTTTGTAGTTTGCCGAATTTTCCTTGTCTTTCTTAATTTAATTTTCATATGACCATCTCCTTACAATAACAAATACAACAAAAAACAGTGAAATCGAACAAGCAAATCTGTTATTGAAATTTGTGCAACACATTTTAGCTATTCACTTTTATAACATACATAAATGTTAAGGACATTATTTCTCACATGTTACACACACGCTACTTGGTAATTTCCATTTATATTAACATTCCTAATGACAGCTTTTGCAGCCTAAGCTTCTCATATTTTTTTATTATTACCTATTTTGTAGAAGTCTTATTGTTTATGTTTTCTCGAGCCACTGTTTATTCATATTGTACAAATGAAAAATCAATGGCTAATGATATCACTTAGTCTACCCTGGAAGTGTAGTCAAGTAATATAATATTTATTATTATAATACTATATATTTTAGAGCTGGCAATACTTGTGGTTAAGTTTTTTTGCAAAGGAACTCTAGTTTTTTTAATTCTTGTGGTAAATGTGATTAACTATCTTATGCAGCTAAGTCATACAGTCAACCAGATAGCTACTAGCTAGTCATACTGTCTTGTAGCATAGATTATGACCACATTTTACCACAGATAACATTAACCTTGTTGACTAACAATGAGAGTTGCCAGCAAATAAAAAAAAAATAGAAACTGCATTTGCAAACTTTTAACTGCAAAGGCGGCTTCATTATTATTTCGAAAGCAACCACAGAGAACAAATCCAAGACATAAGTTTAAAAATGGAACTAACATCCTCTTTTATTATTTATAATACAAAAATGAGAAATAAAAATTACTAATATTTTTTATAAAGAATTTGTGTGACTGTAAACAATAGTAATTTAGTATTATCACTATTATTTAAAAATATCTTAATACAGAAATATCAGATACACATAGTATTTCAAAAATGCAGTAACTACTAACTATAAAATTGATTATAGTAGCATCTCTAAGCATATTGGTAGAAAATATTAATTGGAAAGTTCCCATTGTTGTTTGCAGTCTTTTTTTAAACAATGAAAATATTTATGATACATTTTCTAATTATGGATAACACAGACACTATTAAATGGTCTTGGATTTTGTTCTCGAAACAGGTGTGTTTGAGCTCTTTACACAGACTGTACTTGGCTACACTTCCAAAATGTTACCAATCCGTGATCCCTAGTCAACAAAGAGGTAAGTTTATAAGTTTCTTTTGTTATATTATTTAGAATAATCTAAATGTTAAGTTATTTTTTAATATGTTTAGTGTAACTAAATATGGTGTGAAATTGTTATTCAAACAGAATCATTGTTTTACCTCTCTTAAACAGAGATAAGTACCAATTCACTTCTAGAAGTTTTTCTGTGGAGCTCTGTGGTGGAGCTAATAATCCTAGAAGTTCCACTCAGCTCAGCAAACTCGTTCTTTTGAACCTTGCTCATTTTCACAAAAAAACTTTAGTTATTAGTGACCAGATTTGATCATTTTGCTAACTAACCCATACTATTAATTTCCTTTTAATATAATATGTTTTATTATCTCTCATAATAATAATTACAGGAGTTTCTCATGTGAGATGTCTATATTTGTCCGGCAACTCGGTCGTAACGTGACCGGCCGTGAGACCGCATCGAACAAGCAAACCGCTAGCAAATCGTGTGCCCTCTCTATCGTGAGGCAACTGTACCATCTCGGTGTGATTGAGGCCTTCAGCGGAACTTTGAAGAAGGACAGGTATAGTTTTCTAAATTTTATTAATTGTTTTATGTTTCTGTGAATTTAAGGTTCAAATTACTATGAAATCTGTACCAGATATGATATAAATATTGTGTTTTCTTTCATATTGTCCGAGAAGTAGTTTGATAATTAATCTTTATGTTAATCATTGAATGCAGGTCATCAGAAGGTATTATGAAACCATACCCCGTGGCTCTCAGCCCTGAATTGGAGAAGCAACTAGAGGATACATTGAATGGTTAGTATAATACCGAGATATTTTTCAAAAAGTCCATCATCCACATGGTAACGCCCAAAGACATCACCAGGGTTACGAGAGCGCTGTCGGGCTTTTGGGGATTAGGGTAACGAAGATTTAGGGATTGGGGTAGGGGAGGATTGGGCCTCCGGTAACTTCATTCACACGGCGAAACACAACGCTGTGATTATTCCACATTGGTTATCTGAGCCGACCTTGTTATATTTATTTCTTTAATACATTGCCCCACACTAGGATTTTCTCCTGTTTCGTGGGTGCGGTTAGAAACATACAATTTCACATACAGATAACACCCAGACCGGGAACAACAATATGTGGATCATACAAAGAGTTGTTCCGTGCGGGAATCGAATCCGCGACACGTTGCGCGGCTGCCAGTTGCCCAGCCACCGCACCATTCGTGCCAAACCTTGCGAAGGGTGTGACGTGTATGATTTTATGTTCAGAAATGAAAATGTGTGTGTGGATATGCATCCACGAAATATTTTTTTATGGGATAGGTCGGCAAACGAGCAGACGGATTACCTGATGGTAAACAATCGGCGCTGCCCATGGACAATCGCATCAAATCATCAACACCAAAAGAGTTAAGAGTGCGTTGCCGGTCTTTTGGGGATAATAGTTTCGGATATTTAAGGATTGGGAAGAGATGGAAGAAGGGGGAGGAATTGGGCCTCGGGTAACCTCACTCACACGCCGAAACACAACTGTTTTCTTTTTCGGTTTTCTGTGAGGCCACGCCACTACGGTCGAGCCGACCAATTAGTACCGAAGCAAGCTTGGCTCTCCGACACTTAATTATCCAATTTTGCAGCTTTGGAGATCGAGCCAGTACAAATAGACCCGAAACTGACTTATACAAGCGAAGAAGGTGGCGCTGGTGGTCTGACGTTGCTGCAGCTGGACCGTATAAAGGCCATGCGAGAAGCTCGGCAGTTCCCTGCTGGAGTCGTCTCCTGGTCTCCGCCACAGGCCAACTGGAATGCCTGGACTGGTTGTAATATTGGTATGTATATGAGTGATCTATATTAACGTTTTAACTTTATTCAATTTGTTCTTAACTCCGTTGCGTATGATGTTTGAATTCGTTTTCTTATTAATATGTTAGCCTTGTAAAACAAAAGTGCGGCAAACCATTTCCGAATAATAAATCTTACTTCAAATAAATTGATAAATTTATCCTCTTGATAGACAACTTTTTTTTGAGAAAATAGTATCTACTTATTGAAATTTAATTTTATTTTTACATTTTTATGATTAACATTTACTAATAATATAATCTTCATAACAGATGAAGGTCCTTTGGCTACTACAAGCTTGGAGGAGATCAGTTCCGACCTCGAGAAACATCACAGGGACATGTGCCAGAACAGCACTCTGTACCAGGTTTGTATAGTAATTCAATATTTGTGAAGTATCTGCATATCTACATAGTCTATTTACATAAAAGTGACAAGCTTCAACAATAACACCCGGTTGCCGAAAGGCCGATCAATGTTAAAATCAATTTAATCTCTTGTCAAGTCATCTGATTGGTTGACTAAATTATCAACAACCAATCAGATGACTTGACAAGAGATTTGACAGGAGATTAGTTAATTTTAGCGTTGACAAGCCTTTCAGTAACCGGGTGTAAGTATCTCAGTTATGTAGCGCCCGGTCGTTGAGAGGGTTTGCGGAGCGTGTACAATGTACAGACGCGGCCGCACGGTTAGGAACGGCTGCGCGCGCAACGCGCCAGCGCCGGCCGCCGCCGGTCATGTAGGTGCGCAACGCTGAGTAGTCGCGCCGACGCCGCAGTGCGCAGCACAAGTAATACGTCTTTCGCGGCTCTCGCTCGCTCCCAGTTTTCGTGTTGTATGTTACTTTCATTTTATGTCACCAAACTTTATTCTATTTGCTTTTACTATAATATACACAGACTTTCGTAACAATAGATTCGTTTCCTTCCATCTCCGATCCATCGAAAACCCACGCATTATACCTAAACCTGAGAAAAGTGACTCTACTACCTATTACAGTGGCTCCCAACTCGTGGCCTTGGACTCAGTGTGCGAACGGACCCAACAAATTATTGTTACGTACGTTACAAATACGTAAAGTTTTGGTGTTCATCCAGTGACTATATATACGCGTCAGTGTTCGTTTAGTGACTATACCTACGAAACGCAATACAATGCCGCGAACAACACGATCGGCGCAGCGAAACGCTAGGTCTTCGGACGACGACGATACAGTGGTGGAGTCGCGCACCCATGCCGGGGCCGCCCACACTCACGTCGCGTGCGACGGAGACGCACCCGAGACGCGCGCCCAGGGAGGCGCCGCTCAAGAACCCGACTACATGTTCGACGGAGGCTGCAGCGGAGCACCCGCTCACCCCGCATTGAGCACCGAGCGGCTCCTGACTACCATGATGGAGTCGTTCGCCAGAGCACAGGCGGATACCAACCGCATACTAGTGGAGACGTTAAGATCCCTCCATCATAACGGTAACCAATGGAATCCAGTCACGTCAATCCCGGCAGCGTCGCCTACCGCGAACATATTTACGACATTTGGCGGGAACTTTTCAAAGTGCACCGCGAGATTCGACGGGCAATCACGCAACGCCGAGGTACTGGAGGCGTTCGTAGATGCGGTGGAGGTGTACAAGGAGTGCGCCGGCGTGTCAGACGAGCATGCGGTACGTGGCCTCTCCATGTTGCTGACCGGCGACGCGGCGGTGTGGTGGCGCGGCGCGCGCCCCAGCGTCGGCACGTGGCCCGACGCGCTCGCGCGCCTGCGTGCCACCTACGGCGTGCAGAAGCCTGCGCACCGTCTACTCCGTGAGGTATACGCGTGTGAGCATAGTGAGTGTGAACGTGCAGAGGTATTCGTGTCAAAGGTACGATCTTTATTGGTTAAATTACCGTATGTAGTGCCTACTGTGATGCAAGTAGATATAATTTACGGACTACTTCATCGTCGTATACGTAAACGATTGCCGCGTGATACCGTTTGTAATATTGATGAATTGTTAGAGAGAGCGAGACTCGTGGAAGACAGTATGTCGGAGTTAGAAATCTCGAAAATTCCCGCGAAATCATCGAATATACCTACGGTACCCGACCGCGGCGCTACTACGAGTTCGAGCGTAACCATCGGCTCGAAACTCACCCCTAGCTCGAACGAAAACCTAAAACGTATTCGCACTAGATGTACTTATTGCAAAGCATTTGGCCACACGATAGACGATTGTCGCAAAGCTAGTAATAATAAAATAGATAACAATAGTAAGAATACTCACCCGGTTCGATGCTATGGATGCGGTCAGCCGGGGGTTGTTAGATCTAAATGTGAGACTTGTTCTAATAAGTCTGTGCGCGCCGAGTCATCTGACTTTAATATTGTAAAAGGGGATTTCTTCGCTACTTCGTCGCACCCTTTAATTACTATAGGTGTAGTAGGTAAAGTAGGGGTCGCGATAGTAGATACAGGGGCTACGCACAGTGTCGCTAGCCCATTATTGCACTCGCTATTAGCGAGTAGTGGCGTTCAATTTAAAGACGCTGTTAGGTACATAGGACTCGCCGACGGGTCACGTCACCGTAAGATGATTAAGATCGCGACAGTACCTGTTACCCTAGGTGGTCGGATAATCGATACCGATTTTATGATATTTCCTGGTGACGACACTAGGACTCTCTTAGGTCGCGATTTCATCGCCAAAGCGGGCATGGGTTTAGACATAGCCCAGGAGTCGTGGTATTTCGCAAATAGACCAGGAGACTGGTTTCCGTTTGAACGGTCTTACGTTTTGAAAAACGAGAAGATTGAGCACACACCTAGTAAAGCCAACGTCATTGCCGATACGCTGTCGGAATCCGACGATCCCTTTAGGGGGAGGGCTTGGGCGGACAAAGGTTACGTGCTCACCGAAGGGGTACTATATAGGTATTGTCCCGAAGATGTGGTGGTACCAGAGCACGAACGTGCCAAGATATTGGCTGAACACCATGATGCACCCACTGCTGGTCACATGGGTGCAGAGCGTAAAATGCAACGGTTAGTCGGCGATCTAGTGTTGTTAAAAACTCAAGGGTCAAACGACACAGGCAAAGGACAGACCCCTAAGTTTATTCCCCGCCGCGATGGGCCTTATAAGATCAAGGCCGCGGTAGGTCCCGTAACTTACGTGCTTGAGCGGCTTAGCGACGGAATAGAGCTCGGGAAGTATCATGTTTCAGTTTTGACACCCTTTGTTGGCCGCATCCAGGCTCCAGTTCAGCAGAAGCGTAGGCGGGGTAGGCCTCGTAAGTGCTAACCCGATCGCGAGGACGTTCGTTCGGGTTAGAGGGGGAGACTGTAGCGCCCGGTCGTTGAGAGGGTTTGCGGAGCGTGTACAATGTACAGACGCGGCCGCACGGTTAGGAACGGCTGCGCGCGCAACGCGCCAGCGCCGGCCGCCGCCGGTCATGTAGGTGCGCAACGCTGAGTAGTCGCGCCGACGCCGCAGTGCGCAGCACAAGTAATACGTCTTTCGCGGCTCTCGCTCGCTCCCAGTTTTCGTGTTGTATTTAGTTTTATGTTATATCACCAAACTTTACTCTATTTGCTTTTACTATAATATACACAGACTTTCGTAACAATAGATTCGTTTCCTTCCATCTCCGATCCATCGAAAACCCACGCATTATACCTAAAACTGAGAATAGTGTCTCTACTACCTATTACAGTTATTAAAATATTGCTTGTTAGTTAAGTACATTGATCTTGTTGGTTCTGAATTTATAATATGATTTCCAAGATCTAAGAAAAATGTCGTGGTTGTGGGTCAAGCGCGATAAGTTACCGCAGCCGGAGGCGGTTTTAGTCACTCAGACTCTGGCACTTACTCTCGCCATATCATGAGGAAAAGATGAATTTTTTCGTCGTCGTCTAAAAAAATCTTAGAAAAATATTCTAATGCTATATATTGTATTATTTTCCAGTAAGCAAAAGAAGGCTTAGAGTTTTGTTAATTAGAACCTTGAATTATCATGACTTTTGTATAAAGAAACCGTTCGCTTGTCTAAACCCCGGTTTCCGTCAGGCCAATCAATGTTAAAATCAATTTAGTCTCTTGTCAAGTCATCTGATTGGTCGACTGAATTATCAACAACCAATCAGATGACTTGAAAAGAGATTTAACAGGAGATTAGTTAATTATAGCGTTGACAAGCCTTTCAGAAACCGGGTGTAAGAATCTATTAAAAATTGGTAAAGTCGAACGATGGACATTCAAGTATTGATTTGAATAATATTGTAATATTTTTAGGAAAGTCTTCGAGAGAGAGAACAGTTGCCAGTTTACGCGATGAGGGCACAGATTATGGAGGCTATCAACGAGAATCCCGTTATAATCATCAGAGGCAACACCGGATGTGGTAAAACTACTCAGGTATGTTGCCACACAGAATAATTCAATGTAAATAAACTAACAAAAAAGTACTAATCTAAAAGGCTTTGTAATCAAATGAAAGGGCTACAAACTAAAGAGTAAAATCTATAAGTTTCTGCGCTCCCTAGATGGCGCTTGTGATGACTTAAGTCCTAATCGAATATATTTAAATCTTTTTATCTGCGATTTCCATCGAAATTAATTTAATTACTGTGAAATCTCTTATATATTAATATAATATGTATTTAAATTGGAGTTTTCTTATGGCAAACAAACAGACTGTTAAAAAAAAGCCTATGTTTACAATTGTTTTATTTGTAGGTATGTCAGTTCATTCTGGACGACTACATAGCGAGCGGTCAGGGCGCGTGGGCCAATGTATGCGTGACGCAGCCGCGCCGTATCTCCGCCATCAGCGTCGCCGAGCGAGTCGCGTCCGAACGATGCGAGGATCTTGCTAACAGTGTTGGGTAAGTTGTCGAAACAATAATTTAAAATCTGACTACACTGTTATAAACATTTATACAAGTAATACTTTATTCAACCTACACATCGCATCCAAGGTTACAATGCATGGCAGTGTGATTGGTATAAAAATCAAATAGAATAAAAAGTGAAAGGTTCACATTTACCTTCCCCATTTTCGTTAGTTAATTATTTATTCATTCAAAACACATGTGCTCATTAAATATGAAAATAAATCAAAAAAGAGGTGCATAGGTACTGTATATTCCTGTTTGGAATTTCTTCCTGTAGCCCTTCGATAGGAGAAATGTTAGTGACATTTATTTATGTATTATGTACATGTACTACATAGGTATGATACTTATGGCTTACCGCGTCCTTATAAAATGAAAATAGCGGAAGTTATTTCTTAGATAACTACGACTATTTCGACCGAAATCTATCCAGCCATTACAAAGATTAGCCGGAACAAACAGACAGACAGAGAGACAAAACTTGCAATAAGCATAACTTGCAATACCTAAGTGTTAGTATTTGTTTCAAAAGAAATTTAGTAAAAATCACAAAAGACTCCAATTTTATTTAAGTAATGGATGATAATGTAATAAATTTTTATTACAGTTACTCTGTGCGCTTTGAATCGATGTTGCCACGTCCATACGGATCCATAATGTTCTGCACCGTCGGAGTACTGTTAAGGAAGCTAGAAGGAGGCCTGCGAGGAGTCAGCCATGTACTGGTTGATGAGGTATGTATTGACTGTGTTTTTTATTATTACTTCACTTTAGCTAATTAAGTGTGGGATAACCGGTTCGACCGGAGTGATACCACGGCCTCACAGAAAACCGGAGTCAAGCAAAACATACGTTGTGTTTGGCCGTGTGAGTAAGGTTACCGGAGGCCAATCCATCCTTCCTCCATTCTCAATCCTTAAGAAAAAAACATCCCTAAGAGCCCACAAGAGGCCACTTCTAGTAACTCCTTTGGTATTACGAGTGTCTATCGTCGGCGCCGATTGCTTACCATCAGGTAATCCATCCGATCGTTTGCCGACCTATCATATAAACAAATAAAAGTAAGCTACTAAAGTAAGTTTCTACCACCTAGAGGTATAAAAAATATATATATCTAGTAGCCGATTCTCAGACCTACTGAGTATGCTTATTAAATTTGATAAAAATCAGTTAAGCCGTTTCGAAAGAAAAAGGTTATTATTATTATGACACGAAAATCTATACTAATATTATAAAGCTGAAGAGTTAGTTTGTTTGAACGCGCTAATCTCCGGAACTACTGGTTCCAATTGGACATTTGTTTTTGTGTCTGTTAGTCCATTTATTGAGGATGGAGACGCTATGATTTGAGAGCCGAGCAGGGAGTGAAATCGCGTGAGACTAGCTAGTTGCATATAAATACCAAGTTTCCGTAAATCGGTGCCGTCTATAGTTTCCATTTTTTTTTATGGTATAAATCGGCAAACGAGCAGACGGATTACCTGGTAAGCAATTGACGCCGCTAATGGACACCCGCAACACCAAATGAGTAACGAGTGCGTTGCCGGCCTTTTGGGGATAGGGGTTGCGGATAAAAGGAACGGGAAGGGATAGGAGAAGGGGAGGGATTGGCCCTCCGGTAACCTCACTCACACGGCGAAACACAACGCTGGGTTGTTTCACGCTGGTATTCTATGAGGCCGTGGTATCACTCCGGTCGAGCCGATCCATTCGTGCCGAAGCTGGCTCTCCCATACTTATAGTTTCCATGATTTAGAACTTGATAGTTTTTATGAAAATCCGCGACGTATCATCCCTCTTGATTCTACAGCAAACGTACGATCTATTCAGTACAACGTCAAACTATTATTATTACATCCTCCTTTAACAGGTACACGAGCGCGATGCGGATACAGACTTCGCCTTGATCTTGCTCCGTGACATGGCACACACGTACCCCGACCTACGCATCATACTTATGTCCGCTACAGTCGACACTACGCTCTTCACATCTTACTTTGGAAACTGTCCTGTCATTGAGGTGAGTAATATTTAAAATGCTATGTGCTAAAACCGAACATTTGTCAATAATTATTTAATGTTATTTTATAATGATGTACTTTTGACCTGTGTGTGTTACTTCTACTATTGAGATATTGACTGTTTTTATTTCTAGATTTTACTTTTGATATTTCGGACTAATTAATTATTTTGACATATGTTGCAAATATTTGACATTTATTATTGGATCTTGATGTTGTATTGTATTGTTATTCTTTTTAATTTTTTTCTTGTTTTAATGTTTGATGTGCTTTATATTTTAATTAATTGGCTTGCTGTCGTTTTGGTGCTCACTGTGAGCCAGTAAGTGCATGTTTAAATAAATAAATAAATAAAATAAATTAATAAATAATAATATTTTTACAAGTCTAAAGTCAAATCATTTATTTAAATTTTGACTATTTTGACTCATGAAAGACAAACATTTTGTTGCCTTTGCTGGGGCACCTGGATTTTATCCTACACCTCGGGTGTGTTTACGAACCCGCTACACGTTGTCACGGCAGCCAGTTGCCCAGCCACCGCACCAACCGTGCAGTCGACACAATATAATAAATATTAATCTTTATTATTCTGTGTTAGATTTTTATGAAGGTTAGAATGGTCTTTTAAAAAGTCATCTAGTACAATTCTTACATTCTTCGTAGTTTCTCTGTAAGAACAATATGGATCATCTTAATGCGCAATGTTTCATCCTTTGCGCAAATGTTAGATTTTTGCGCAAGAACTTATAAATCGTGAAAAGATATGTTTAAGATTGTGTGTGTCTTGTCAAAATATAACTCAAACGCTAATCTTTCTAAAATATAACCTTTTTACTTTGCTACCGTATGCCTGAAACTGTAGCAGAAAATGAAGATATCTTATTTAATACATAGATTTTAATACCTATTCTATATAAGAACAATTTGCCTATGAATAGGTGGCATAATCTTAATTTAATTTATTTAATTATAATGTTTTACATTTAGGCGACAATGGCCCACAGAGACTTTAAAAACGTACATATGCGTTAAATGACCAAAAAATTTAAGTAAACAAAACCTAAATTGTAAATAGGAATTAATATTATAAATAAATCCTGCAGGTACCAGGTCGCACCTTCCCAGTAAAGCAATACTTCCTAGAAGACTGTATAGAGTTGACGAAATTCGTGCCGCCGCCTGACATGCGCAAGCGCAAGTCTTCTGGCAAGAAGACCAACGCTCGAGGCGAGGAAGAGGATGACGACGACGAAGGTAGACATTGTTTCTTTTTTTTTAATTTTTACAAATAATTTATTTAAATTATTCCACAATTAAATTAGGCAGGTTCCTAGGTCAAAAATTAGTTAATTTGACTTTTTAATGTAATCAATTATTAATATAATCATACTGTTATTCATTGAGTTGACTATACACTTCATTAAACTTTTCAAAAATATGAACATCTTAAGTTTCGCATTTTTATAATATTAGTAAGATTAATGTATTATTTCTCAGCCAACGAGGAGCAGGAAGAGGACCTGAACAAGAACTGCCAGCTGCCCTCAACGTACTTGCCCAGCACCAGTCAGACTATGTCTCGACTTTCTGAAAAAGATGTAAGTGGAAATATTTTTATTGAAATGCACGATAGATGGTGTCTCAATTGTTTTTCGGGGTCATTGTTAATAGTTATTATTTGGACTTAAACTTTTAAATAAATTGATCGGAGTTAAAAGAATTTATAAAATGTCTCCAGTGTTAAAAATTGTCCTATACAATTTTAGGGTCATAAAAGGAGAATCCTCTGACAAAGCCAGGTGGTCGTGTTAATTAACAACGATACGACTGTTTATTAGGGTTTTCTTCTTTTTATCCGTCAAGACACGTGGTCGTACACGTACTTTACCCACGTGGCTTTTTTGTATATAGCGCCATCTACCGGTAAATTTCAGAGTCTGGACGCTAAAACCTGCCAGGGAAGTTAAGACAATTGAATAGGAAATCACTTAATAAGCTTTTTTTATTATTTCAGTTAAGCTTCGAGTTAATAGAATGCATACTTCAACACATTCGAGACCTAAAAGGCGATGGAGCGATCCTCATCTTCCTACCTGGATGGAACTTGATCTTTGCATTGGCCAAACATTTGTCCCAACACAAGTTGTTTGGTGACACATCCCAATACGTTATATTGCCTCTACACAGTCAAATCCCAAGGGAAGATCAGAAGAAAGTGTTCATTACGCCTCCTCCTGGGTTAACTAAGGTAAGATGGTATTTTGGACTTTATTGCTTACGAGTTAAAAGCTAACTTGCGCTACATGCAAACTGACTTTTGAGCTGATTTTTACCATTTAATAAGTTTTTTTTACTGTAGATCAGTTTTTATTGGATAAGTGTCGGCAAACTAGCAGACGGATTACCTGATGGTAAGCAATTAGCGCCGCCCATAGACAAAGAGTTACTACCAAGTCCGTTGTCGGCCGTATAAGGGATCGTTCAGATAGGAGATTGGGGAATTGAAAAAGAGGGTGGGAGATGATTGAGCCTCCAGTAAGCTCACTCACACGGCGAAACACAAAGTAAGCGTTATTTCACGCCCGTATTCTGTGACCGTGGTATCACTCTGGTTGAGCCAATGCATTTTCTTAATTTCACTGCACGGTTGAGTAGTGGCTGGGCAACTAGCTGCTGTGCAACATATCGTGGATTCAGTTCCCGCAAGGAACAACACTTTTTAAAATCAATATATTGTGGTTTGTCCAGCATAAATAATTCTAAAAAATCAGCTAATAGTGGGGCCTTCCCACTTTTGTTGATTTTAAAAAGTTTTTGAAATTATTTTAATGCTTTTTCCCAGGTGATTCTCTCAACGAACATAGCAGAAACTTCGATCACGATTAACGACGTGGTGTACGTGATAGACTCGTGCAAGGCGAAGGTGAAACTGTTCACCTCACACAACAATATGACGTCATACGCCACTGTATGGGCCAGCAAGACCAATCTAGAACAGGTAATATATCAATATACTAAGTTTAAAATATCTGTCGAGTATAATCTTCCCAAATGAAACCATGTCCAACAGAGAATTAGCTAGCGTGCCACGATAGACGGCCTTATTACAAAACAAGGTTTTACTTTAGTCTAGGACTAAACCATTGAGCCAGTTTTCCTATTTCGAATTAAAGGTAGATGACAATAAGGTTCAAAATTCAAAACCCGACTCAATGGTTTAAACCTGGACTAAAGATAAATCTTGTTTTGTAATAAGGGGGAGAGAGTTTAAATGGTTGACAGCTACATTGATTAGAACAAATCAAGCTCTTTCTAAATTATCATCTTTATTGAACAAAGAAACAAAAGTGCCAAAGAAAGAAACAAAAAAAGGAAAAGAAACGAAAGTTTACCATAGGTATTGCAAATAATACTGTACATACATACACAGTGATTTTATATACCTACCTAACACAAGTCAAAATAAATAGCTGATCAGTCGCTAAAACTCTGAAAAGGCCCACCAACCAACAGATCAAATTTTAGACTTGGATAAATATGTTGAAGTCCATAATAGGTATAAACGGTGAGAAAGTTACGATGTTCCGCGACCCGGCTTACGAGCCCTTGCAAAAGGAATTGTGATGATTGAAGTGATTTTTAAAAAGCGATTGTCTGACGCCTACGAGCCCAAAGAGAATCTTGATAATTTGTGTGATTTTGGTAAGCAATTTTCTGTCACTAGTATTATATTTTACGATACATTTCCAGCGCAAAGGTCGAGCAGGTCGAGTCCGTCCCGGCGTGTGCTTCACGCTGTGTTCCCGCGCGCGATTCGAACGCCTCGAAGAACACCAAACCGCAGAAATGTTCCGCACGCCACTACACGAACTCGCACTCAGGTATGGACTGTTTATTTACTACATTTTTACTCTCAAGTCATATTACTTTTTAGGATTATTGGATTATGGATGAACATTAGTGTTACACTTTTCTCACATAATAAAACCGACTAAATGATGTAACAAAGAAATGCATTGTGAAACTGATTTAAAAAGAGTAACTATAGAGTTTCTGCTCGTTCTTCTCCATGGGAATCTACACTTCGGAATGAGCAAATATCTTCACTAGAAGACAGATGGACAGACTGACACGCATAAAGTTAACATTTTGATTTTTTTTTTTTTTGCTTGAAGATCAAAGCCTTTGTGTTTCGTGAAATAAATGATTTCATTTGATACGTTATTATAATGGCGGTATTGCCGAACCGATACGACCTTTAAACCTGCAAGAAACGATCGTACTCCTTCTTAAAAGGCCGGCAACGCGCCTGTGACTCCTCTGGTGCTGTAGGTGTCCACGGGCGGCGCCGATCACTTACCATCAGGTGATCCGTCTGCTCGTTTGCCGACCAACTACCATAAAAACAGGAACTGACTTAAAACCACCCTGTTAATTCTTTTTTTCCGGGCCTACATTATGACAATTGGGTAGTTCCCTAGGTCAAAAATAAATTAATTCCACGAAAAATAACAAAATTTTTATTCATCGATTGATTGATACCCTGAATTTTAGCAAATTTTTAAGAAATAAGTAAATAGTTGGACGCAAAAAAACTATGACGTCATAACTCAGTTTTCCATACAAATTTCATGAAAAGTATAGTTTTTAACATTTGGATAAAAGTATTGAATTTGACTAGTTGCAAACTACCGTATTGGACTCGCAACCGCGACTTACCCACATTATTTCTTCATTAACATTAACAAAATTGTCCTTATTCCAGCATCAAACTACTCCGTCTCGGCAGTATTGGCCACTTCCTCTCGAAGGCTCCAGAGCCTCCACCGCTAGACGCTGTCATTGAGGCCGAAGCCCTGCTCCGTGAGCTCGGCTGTTTGGACGGGGAAGACAACCTCACACCGCTTGGAACTATACTCGCTAAGCTACCTATAGGTACGTAAAAGTGTCTAGTTCCATAAAGATCAATTTTAAATATAAAATAATTAAGACAGTCGACACTATAACACAAAAGTATTTTTTTTTATAATAACTATCGTGAGACATACTAAATTAACTAAAAATCGCGAGTTACTCACGTGTGTATATTGAGAAAAGCAGTCAATCATGAGGAAGAACCCCTCTGTGGTTCGAAACTAGTAGAGCTTTTCTCAATATATACACGCTCACGTGTTCACGGTTACTCATAACCCGCGATTTTTAGTTAAAAGTATTTTTTTGTTGTTTTTAAATGTATGCAATCATGGAACCACAAATTTTGCTATATAATTAACACTTTCAGTACCACTACAATTTTCATAATAATATCTCGGATGCCCCCTACGTTTCTCGTACATTTTACTGAATGTTTTAACTGTCTTATTACTACAACCTGGATAGAATTTTGGTCTTCAATTCTTCTACTCATAGATCAGTTCAATGATCAACAGTATTCACATATTTGTCTATACTATCTCCTACAAAATCGACTGAACTGATACTGAAGACGATAGGCCCAATCTATACTTATATTACTTCATCATCATCAGCCTATAAGTGCCCACTGCTGAGCAAAGGCCTCTTCTCATACGGAGAAGGTTAGAGCATTAATCACCACGCTTGCTCAATGCGGGTTGGCGATTTCAAACTTATAATTAGAAATTATAAGTCCAGGTTTCCTCACGATGTTTACCTTCACCGTATGTCAGTGGTGTCTAAATAATCATAGAAAGTACATATAACTCGGAAAAAGTCACATTGGTACTTGCCAGGTTTCGAACCCGCACCCTCATGCATGAGAAGCGGGCGCTTTAACCTCCGGGCCACCACGACACTACTTATATTACTTATTTAATATTATAAAGCTGAAGAGTTTGTTTTTTTGTTCGAACGCGCTAATCTCTAAAACTACTGGTTCGATTTGAATGAATATTTTTGTGTTTGTGGCTGTAAAACATCACGCTACCATCTGTAGGAGCCGAGCAGCAGGTGAAACTGCGCGAGAATAGCTAGTATTTTATATAATGTTTTATGGGGTTAAAACAAATAAATCTTGTGTGTATGTATCTGTCTAAAGCTTATTGCTTATTTCTTCTAGAGCCTCGTCTCGGCAAGATGATGGTGCTAGGTTTCGTGCTCGGCGTCGGCGACGCGTTGACCACCATGGCGGCCAACTCGACCACCTTCCCCGAGATATTCGTTGTCGAGGGACGGCGGCGACTCTCCAACCACCAGCGGGCCCTCGCAGGAGACAGGGCTTCGGATCACGTCGCTATGCTTAACGCTTTCCAGGTAAGATTTTGTTAAAACGATAATTTTCATATAAGCTCCATGCAAAATGTATCAAAATCCTTAATAGTAGTGCGTTGCGCATATCCAAGTGGCCATAGTAAAATTTTGTGTAGGTAATTTAAACTTGTCTATGTTAGAATTGTATGCATTAGTGTTCTGAAATTTTCCAATTATCAGTCTTTAATATTTTTTGCGGGAGAGGAGGTAGACTCTTGCACCCGGTTTCTGAAAGGCTTGTCAATGCTAAAACTAACTATCTCCTATTAAATCTCTTGTCAAGTCATCTGATTGGTTTTTGATAATTCAGTCAACCAATCAGATGACTTGACAAGAGAATAAATTGATTTTATCATTGATCGGCCTTTCGGAAACCGGGTGTTAATGACTAAAAACATCCATGTTCTGTCTCCAGACCGGGCCGCAATACATGCCTATGTCCATCTGTATATAGTCTGTATATTTTGCTTATTTTGAATTTGATAATTCAGTAGACAAGGACAGCAAAATGTGGCGTACATTATTTACCATTTCAGACTTTAAATTGCGTAATATTACTAATTATTTACTAAAGAAATTCTTTTATTTGCATAGATGTGGGAAAGGGAACACGCCAAAGGCGAGGAAGCTGAGATGAAATGGTGCGAGTGGAAGGGACTGCAGCAGACCACCATGAGGGTCACGTCCGAAGCCAAGTACCAACTCACTAGTAAGTCTTGTACTTAATATAGATTCAGATTTTGTAGTTCTATGATATCTAAGGCGTATTTCACAATTTCTCTCATAACAACCTTCTATTGATAATAATGAATACAGCAAAAAAAGGCTAAATTGGTCCAAGCGTAGTTGAAGTATGCTTTTTTATGTTTACCAACAGATATTTATATATGAAGGCACCGGGGGCGTTGGTACAAACATCAACATGCCGATCGTCGGTCTTCACAGTCCATCGCAGGGCGTAGGATTTTATAATGAGACCGAATAAATTACAAACATAACGGACGTCGGCGATCCGTCTCAGATGACAGTCACAGCGCTCGCATGCGCACGCAGAACTCTCTGTTTGACGTTCCGCCAGAGTACGATTCATTGTACCCTCGCCCGATGAATTGTGATAAAACCTCCTTCAAAATTCAATTTAAATACATTAACACAAATAAACCTTCTAATAGTAATCACGGGAGAAATTATGTTAGTTGCAGTACCAATTAAAATAAGTATGCCCCTTTTTTTATGGTATAAGTCGGCAAACGAGCAGACGGATTACGTGATGGTAAGCAATCGGAGCCGCCCATGGACACCCGCAACACCAAAGGAGTTACGAGTGCGTTGCCGGCCTTTTGGGGATAGGGGTAGGGGATATAAGGATCGGGAAGGGATAGGGGAGGGGGAGGGATTGGGCCTCCGGTAACCTCACTCACACGGCGAAGCTCAACGCTGTGGGTTTTTTTACGCCGGTATTCTGTGTGGTCGTGGTATTACTCCGGTCGAGCCGACCCATTCGCGCCGAAGCTTGGCTCTCCCACACTTAGATGATAGATGTCTACATATAAACTTAACAAAAACATTTTTTTTTTCAGATATCCTGACCACTTCAGTTGGTTTCCCAGAAGAGTGTTGCATACCTCAGCGCTGGGATCCCACGGGGTCGGATCCCACTCTCGACCTGGTCATTGCACTCATGTGCATGGGACTCTACCCCAACGTCTGCCTGCATCAGGGAAAGAGAAAGGTTGGGATTCTTTTAAATATGCTGTTATTCCTGTTACGGCTTACTTACTTACATTTGTTGGAGAAGGTTGGGTGGTTGAAGCTAAAACCTAGCCAAGCACGAATGGGTCGGGCTCGAGCGGAGTACATGTACATATACTATGGCCTCACAGAAACCTTGAGGTTCCCCTAGTGAAAGGTTACTGGAGGTTCAATCCTTTCCCTGCCCAATCCTTCCCCAATCCCTAAATATCAGAAACCCTAATCTTCGAAAGCTTGGCAATCCACTTGTAACTCCTCTAGTGTTGCGGGTTCTATGGGCGGCGCCGATTGCTTCCCATCAGGAAATCGTGCTGCTCGTTTGCCAACTTATTATACAAAAAATGATAACAGAAACCAATTTGGAAAAAAATACAATGGATGAATTAAAATATTTAGTACGCGATGCGTCGTTGGTCCAAGTCACATGCGCGACTGCTAATCAAATGATACGATTTCCCGATCGGACAGAGGAAACTATGTTTGCGAGTATTTTCATTAAATTATAGCCACCATCATTATCATCATTAAAAATAATTTTAAACTTTGTCTTAGGTACTAACAACAGAAGGCAAGCCCGCCCTCATCCACAAGACGTCAGTGAACTGCAGTAACCAGGAGCAGAGGTTTCCCTCCCCCCTTTTTGTGTTTGGGGAGAAAGTACGAACGAGAGCCATCTCATGCAAGCAAACTACTATGGTCGCGCCATTGCATCTACTGCTGTTCGCCAGTAGGAAGGTTGAATGGGTATGTTTAAACTCTGTGTTATTTTTGTTGTAATATTGTCTAAGGTCCCCGGTGTAGCTCGAAAGTAGACGAACATCTCCGAAGAATTAACACGAACATTTATCTAAATGGATAGATAATATTGTTATTGTTCTTCATGTTATATTAATTAATCACATGGCTTACGCACAATTATATTGTCTCTTATATTTACAAAAACGATAAAAAATCATTCATCTCTTTTTTTTAACCATAATAGATCGACAATGTGGTTCGCCTGGACAACTGGTTGAACTTCGAGATGAACCCTCGTTCAGCCGCACTGGTCACAGCCCTGCGGCCCGCTGTAGAGAAACTCGTCGAGAGAGCTGCTTCTGAACCTGATGCCGCTTTGCAGTTTACCCCCCTTGAGCAAAAGGTAGGATTGGTATAGGTGTCATGATTTTAAATTTCAGAAAGCCATGTTATACCTGCTAATTACTAAGCTGTTGTGATGTTTAATAAGCTTATGTTTAATTAAGGAACATTGTAGTTATCCATCAGTGAGAGAATTTTGAAAATCCGAAGATTACCCCCGACATACAAACTAACAAATTTTACCTCTTTATCATATTTAACATCTAATTATATTTATAATAATTGACCCAAATAAAATTAATCTGAAAGTTCTACGCTCAGCATGATAGCAAACATCACCCCTTGCCAGTTTCTATTTACTTATGTATCAAAAATATAAAATATGTTTTTTTTATTCAGGTCGTCGACTGCATAAAGTCACTTTGTGTCATCGAAGCTGGTGACTACAAGATCCAGCGCGATTTAGGAGCAATGTCCTTCAGACCAGACCCCATAGCCAAACGAGGAACTAACAGAGGTTGGGGGACCAGCGGACCACGAGGCGGAGGAGGGTTCGGTGGAAACAGAGGATTCGGGGGTAACAGAGGAAACTTCGGAGGGAACAGAGGTTTCGGTGGAAACCGAGGATTTTACGGAGGCAACCAATTCGGAAACGACGGCAACCAAGGCGGATTCGGCGGTGGCAACTACGGCTGTGGCAATTTCGGAGGCGGCAACTTCGGGCGCAGCAACTTCGGAGGCTTCCAAGGAAATCAGGGAGGATTTGGAGGCAACGATAACGGTTTTGGTTACGGCGGCTTTGGCAACCGAGGAGGCTTCAACCGTGGAGGGTTCAGAGGCCGAGGCAGAGGAGGCAACTGGTGATCATTCCATTCCTAGATGTAATTAGCAAATTTTGTGACTTATGGTGATTACTTGATTAGTTAATAAATGTTTAATTTTACTCGCATTTGTTTTCTTTGGGCACACTTTTTAAATTCTTACTTTTATGGTAATATCATTACAAAGAATGAAAAAAAATTCTCATTTGGGTGAATAGCTTGTAACTTTGGCTTTTAAAATTTTACAAATTTAGAACGTTTAAAGAAAAATTTCTATTTCTCGCAACTTAATCTAATGCAATTTGCCATTTACTGGAATACCCGAATTAAGTAAGCAGAAACCATGACACCGATAGTACCTACTCATTTATCTGTCTAAAACAACACAACATTTCTTGAGTTTCCATTACATTCACAGGAATAGCTGACGATGTTAATTTTACGTTAAAACTTAATCCACACAAAAAGTAATTATTTCAATATACAATACAAGTCTTGTACGTCAGAAATTGATTTATTATAAGCAAATTTAATTTAACAAAATATGTAACAGGAGAAAATTTATTCAAAACAAAACTAATTAACGCTACGCTAAACAGCTAACGATCCGACCTCGGTGGTTCTAATAAATAGCATTTGTACCACAATACTAATGACAAAATAATTGTTCATCAAGCAATCTATGGCTGCCTACACAATTACAAGTTTAGTAATGAAATGCGAACAAACGCGATTTTAACGAAACGAAGCAAAATATATGGCCCACAAGCCACCATGTCCCGTCATTCCACAGGATTTTGAACAACTATAAGAATAAAGTCTTTATCTGGAGCCACCATCACTTCACTCTTCTTACTGCGTATCCTCAAGAACGTCAAGTCATTCGTCGGATCCAGATCTCGTACAACTGCCTTTGCTTTGTCCACCAACGAACTCATCAGCCCCGCGTACTGAACAGAAATATGATTGTCCAAAGTCGTCTTTACCGGTATACCTTCGCCATTCACCACAATGACCCCTGCCACACCCTTGTGCATAGCAAGCTTGCGAACCGTTTCTTCAGCCTCATTTGCCATTTTTTCACTTTAAACTAAGTCTTCAATGTAATTTCCACAAATTATTGTCCAAAATCGAGACTTTAAACCCTTCAAATAAATACAGACGACGTCAACTTTTGGTGGCAAAAACTAAAAAGTTTGAAATCCGAACAAACGGCCAGAATATTCAAATAGCCCGCGAAAAAGAGGTTCGTACCAAAAACTTTTATTGCACAACACTCGTTTTATTTTATGGAGTAATATTTATAGCTCAATAAGAAGCAAGCAACGAATGGTTTACTGGCATGTCACCGCTTGTGATTGATCTGTTTATACGTTGCCGTGTCGACCACGATGGGGCTGATACCGAACTCTGTTTCGCCTCACCCCCGAGGGGGAACATAAATTCACACAAAACATTTACCACCGCCGTGCGATGTTAACTTTGAGAATGTAGGAAATATGTTGATCCATGATTTGCATACTAGTAATTTACCTACCTACGATAGCATCGCGCCTGATTTTAAATCATGTTCATAAACTCTGTTAGTACTGGGAAAGCCAATCTCGTAAAAGCCAGTAATGGTTTTAAGCAGTCGCGTTTTCGATAGTTGCTATGCCTAGATAGACGATATAGAACAGTCATAATGTTTACGAATAGGGAATAAGTACTTGACAAATTGATAATATCGCGAATTTTAGCCGGTAGATAGTAAACTTGTCAGTAAACTGGAATGTTAAAGGCATGAAATGCTAATTATTTATTAGCCAAATACTATCATGAACTGATCTTTACTGGACCAAGGTAACATAAATAAAATTTCTGCAAATAATAAAATCTACAGATACCTAATCAGTAGTATCAGATTATAGATGAGTAGTATATAAAGTTATTAGGAATCTAAGATTTTCTTCGATCTAGTAAGTAGGTACCTATGTTTACAAACATACGACAAGGTGTTATACATATGTTAGGCTGTTTCGAGTAAGATCCGAACGCGAACCCTTGCTGGTCAACCAGAACTGGCCCACCCAGAAATCTTAGCCATTATCTACCAAAGAGCCATACCGCGAGCGCCGCTAGAATTTTTCGTTTTCAGGGAAAAACTTATTTTTTCAACCAATCAACCCAAATCGCAGATTTAGGACATTGCAAGAAGGTACCTACTTCTTCCGATTTTAAATTACTTTGGATAGTCCATATATCGAGGAAGGCTATGGGCTATAAAACATCACACTGTGACCAGTAGACCAGTAGCTGCCGAGAAACAGAGAAAACCGTGTCGGAGTAGCTACATAGTGTAATAAATAAAAAAAGGTATAATAATATTAAATCCGCAAGGCAGCTTGTGGCGAGCTGTTGGGCAGTGGCGACCCCACGGACCTGACTCCCGGGAGGTGCCTTGTTTTTTACCTTCGGTTAGTCCTCGTGACGAGCTGGAGTGAAAACTGATGAAGAACAAACCCTCCTACCCCATATTTTTGCCTTAATTAGCCGGCTTGAGTGGAGATTCGCAAGAGTAGGAGTTGAAGGAGACTCAGGGGAAGGATGTATCTTAGTAAGGTGCTGGTAGGGGTCTTGACCGTACTTCCGGAATTACTCTGATAGCCGTGGGATGCCTCTCCTTCCCCAAGCAGCTCAACGTATGTTGCCTCCGTGTCGCTACATGCTAGCGGCCGTTTCCGGGGGCCAATTAATTGAGTTTGCCAGTCACCCCCTGCCTGTTTATCCGTATGTATCAATATTGGTCAGGGGCAGGGGCCATAGTATTTCCATAGTTATCATATCCACCAGTCCATAGCAACCCATTCCCATAACCCTTTCAATTATTACCACAATTCGCAATAGTCCTGCATCAACCGGGGATTATCCTTGGGTGCATTTTCATCGTGCATACAGGGATAATTGCCGGCTGATGTACCATTTCACATAAATTAAAGTTGTTCAACGGGCTTCTGCGAGTTGGCTTCGGCCCCTCGTACGCCTTCCAAAGGTCCGGGATTCTGTGATCCCGTGAACAGAAACGAACATAAGATAATATTTTGATTATTTATTCTTGATACAAAACATCAGAAAATTAACATCAACTTGTTGAGCAGCTTATAAAGTATAAGTAACAGTCAATAATATTTTAAAATTTTGTATGTTGTTATGTCATATAATATATTAATCATTAAATTTTAATATGACACTTTTCTATTGCATTGATACTTTGTTGTTTGAGTCCTGGAAGGCCTTAATTCTGATAAAATGAAACTACCATAAAATGCATATCTTATTTATTATAACCACGGAGCAAATGGTCACAGCATAACCATACACATTTTTGCATTACGATTTTCAAATAGGTTCTTACGGTACTCTGGTGGGCATGGCAAAATTAGCATGTAGAACTTCGTAACGTACCCATTTTAAATATGGTGTTTATCTTGCATAAACTCGGATAAAGGATTTGATGCTAAAAGGTTTTTTAGGGTGGAACATCATCAAAATTTTATGACTTCTCTAGCCCTGGTTGCGGCAAGCGGGAATGATAGATTCTTACAGTATAAACTGTGGTCTATTGGCTCTATGCGGCGGTGGCCGAAGATCGTCGACACACGAATTGTCGCCTATTGCCGCGGATGGGGCGTAATGAGGATAGTTCCTTCACGAGCTCTGCCATCTTTTTTGGGAGTAGGATTCACAGAAAGAGGAAACTGCTTCCCTGTTCCTCTTGCTTCGCACCATGGTCTCGACTAAAGCCGCGGTGCTCAGCCCAAGCCGGGTACCTACACTGCCACCATGCTGTCCTCCAGGTGATCTTCACAATGACGACGCCAGATTCCTGCCGCCGGATCAAAACATCTTCCGCACCTGGTAAGCACCTGCTTTAGGCGCAAAGTGAGGACGCCAAGGCGCCCCCTAACTATCAAAAAGGGGTCTTACCACTGCTGTAGCAGCATGCAGGACGACCCTGTACATCCCGTACTTGTCACTTCTAGCTACAGAACAAAGTAGTCGTTTTGCAATTAAGTGGCAGATGACACAGTCTTAAAACCGAAAAGGGTGTAAGACCTTTCATCAACCATTGTTTTTTAAGGAACTCCAATTACAACATCTCTTTGTACTTGCTTCGTGATTATAACTGTAAATGGTTATCCACTATTCACCTGATGGATCTTAGGTAGTAGTATTTTTATTGTGATTTGTAATCATGCTGATTGGAAAACAAATTTTAAGAGCTGTTTGGACTGGAACCCATAGTTTGGGGTTAGTGAGCAAAAACACAGTTGCATCCATTGTTCTTCTTTCCTGGCATAATCTTACTCTAGCTTTCCATAGAAACATTTTGTCCTTGTTCTTTCATAGTTTCGACTCTCAAATACAAAGGCATCCTCCCACTTCTAAGTTTAGCTCTTTTATGTACTTTAAGTTGATGTTTCATCATTTGTTTTCTGTAACCAAAAGCCTTCCCACAGATGTTACAAACATGTTCCTTAATCCCTGCATGGTCCACTTTATAGTGTAAGTCTAAAGTCCGTTTAGTGTAGAACCCTCGCCCGCAAGACTCACATTTAAAATCATGTTCCCCTTTATGTGTCAAGGTATGTTTGTTCAAATTACTCTTGCTAATAAACCTTGAAGGGCATTGTGAGCATTGGTATGGTTTCTCACCGGTGTGTGTGCGCATATGCATTTTAAGTGATTCTCTGAATCTCCCTTTGTACGGACAGAGTGAACATTTGAAGGGTAAGCTATAGAAGTGTGTCAATCTATGACGAGTAAATGGTCCCTGCATTAAGAAGTTTTTGCCACAAATATCACACATGAAAGAAGTCTCCTGTGTATGTATAGCTAGGTGCTTTTTTAAGTACTTGGCTGTATATGATCTATTACAGATTGGACACACATGCCTCATATTTTCATGCTCCTCACTAATTCTGTGTTCACTATACTCTTTGAATGAATCAAATGATATTTCACATTGCTTACAATGATATGATCTCTGCTGTCTAAGTTTACTGTCTTCATAATCGGATAAATTATCGTTATTGTCTGCATAATCGTAAGTGTCGTCATTATTATGAGAATTTTCTACAGGATTTTTCAAGAGGTGATCCGATTGTTGTGCCGTTTTCCTAAATAATATTGCGCCTTGGAGGAGCTCATTGCAGGGCTGACACAAGTATTTGGGATAGGGATCGTCCACTGTTACTTCTATACTCGCGAATGTGTTAAGAAACACTGAAATGTCTTCCATCGTGTCATTCCCAAAGATAGGTATACAACCTTCTTTTAAACAAACCCTACATGTGTTATCGTCATTTTGCTTCCTAATACCGCTTTCTGATGAATTTTCGTTGTTAGAGCTACTTTCACCGCCTGTTTCATCTCCGGCGCTCATATTTCTACCATTCATTTGTCTGCAGTGCAACATTTTGAGAACTACCATTAGTCCAACCATTTTCTTGCAATAAATTCTTGAACGCAAATTAACAATACATTACCTGTAATAATTGTCCTACCACTATGTGATTACGAGTTTGGTAGTATTTAAGAAATATTTATAAATAATATTTTCACTCGCTGTTTATATAATTGCGGATAATTAGAATTAGAAATATCAAAATGTCATTTTATTTTTTATGTCAATGAAATGTCAACAATATTTACAAAGTTGAAGACGTTGAAGTATACAAAACTTTACCTACTCAAACTGTCCAATAATATCTCACATCATTCAGGATATTTAAATAATATTATTAAACTCTTATTTACGGGGAGTTTATCACAATAATTATAGTTATACCCTTTTTAATTTAGTAAATGAATTTTTGTGACAAATCTAAATATGTATTTTCCGAACGTAAACTAGAACGTCATATTTTGTCAAATCAAATGTCAATTATCCATGTAAACATGAGGTTATGTTAAATAATTTTAAAATTCTCTAATAAAAGCTACTTTTGACAAATTAACTGATTAATATAGCTGTGTAAAGAATTGGGGAGTGTTTTTGTCGTATTAAACATGAATGCAATCAGGGTGAGGATATATCACTGTCAAAAGTAAAGTCGTAAATCTTCTCAAGTAAAATTAAATTTTACTTATAATTTATTAACTTTTTCAGAGTTTATGGCGTTCAGCGCCCATTGTACGTGGTGTGGTAGCTCCAAGTTATGCTATTCGACCTCTTTCAACAGTCACAGCGGCTCCTATTCAAAAACCTATCGATCCGGTGCCATCGACTGGGACTGTGGAACTCGACAAGTTATATAAAAGAGTTGAATTGGAAATGCGCGGGATCGACCCTGCTGTATTGCTGAGTTACTCTTGGTTCTGTGTGGCGGCCGCTTCACATTTGGGAATTGAAGTGACAAAAAGGTATATTCTGCTTTGAGGTTATAGTTTGTCAATCTTTTTTAATCTAGACAAAACCTTTTGTTAATGCTGGTTGTATGCGTGATATGTAGATGTCACAGCCAACTGGTTAAAATAGCCATTCATTCAATCAATCAACCCATAGCCCTTTGATCTCAGTACAGTTTGAGTGCTTAGCTGTTGTTAACTCGGTTTTATAACAATCCTTTCACCATTTAATCAAATAATTAGTCAGTTGGTTGATTTAACGGCCAATTTAATTTTTTGCTGCAACATTAAATTAAGTCCTTTCAATAATTCATTTTTAATATTTTATACATAATATGTTTATTACAGTTGGGCATTAAGAAAAGCAGAGAAAGAAAGGCACACACTCCTCCGTTGTGTCCATATTTACAAGAAACACAAAGTTCAATACGAGATAAGAACCTACTTCAGATTCATACATTTGCAAAGGCTTACGGGATCAACCTGTGACACCTACCTTGAGTACATAGAGAGGAACCTGCCAGAAGGTTGCGCATTAAAAGTCACCAAGATTGAATGCCAAAAACTACCTGAACACATTACTCCACCAACTAATGAATAAGATATATTTATAAATGTAGAATTAGAATAAAACATCTGTATAGTATACATTTTTTATTTTATTTTGGTTTAGTATTGTAACTACAAAATTGAGCTTTGTTCAAAGTAATTCTATATACAGAATAATTGGAAACTTGCTTATGTATTACCTTACACTCATTTAAAAATGGGGTATTCTAATATAGGGGTTATCCTACATAGTAAATTTAAAAACTGCTAATAGACCTTTTTTAGGGCCACACTACACATTAAAAGTAGGCACAGTAAATTGTATAAGAGTCATTTAATATTAGTTTATTTTTTAAACATAGGTACTACATTTATTGAAAACAATGACATGTGAATTAAATAAGGTAAGATGCGCACTCTGCTTATGAATAAGAATCCTGTTGTGACTTTAAACTAGTAGAGATTTTCATAGAAATCAAGCAAGTCATTATTTTCAAAAAATAAGTAAAGTTGCATAAAAACAATTGAAAATACAATTTTTACTTAATAATAATATAACTTCAACAAAATATTATTTTCAGAACTATTTAATCTTTAAAATATTTTGTACCAGATTTTCATAAGCATCAGTTAAAATAAATGGCAAGTTGTATATTGATAGTGAAGTGCAAGACCTGTAATTTTTCTTACTTTTTATAGTTGCATTGATGAAACTCCAACAGAGGATACACACAATACAATATTATTTGTTTTCTAAGTACAGGTATTTGAAATAAAAGAAAAAAAATCTAGAAAAATATCAGTCTGCACTTCACCCTCAATGTGTTTCTGGCAGTTTATAGAGAGTTCTTACTATACACATTAAAGACAAAAGTTCTAAACACTAATATCTAAAAGATATTCTAAAGTAAATTTTTATAGCTTTTCACAAAAGCCTTAGCTCATTAAAATTAGGAAGCTTTTTCATAAAGGGAGGCACAAACACACTTATTCAATACTTTGGAATAACAACATATTTTTTTAAGCCATAGACTAGGTATGTTTTAATTTTCAGTCATCACATTTTGGCATCAGAATCTTTTTGGCATGGTTGTACTTAATTTCTATTCATACTGTTGATGTTTGCATACTGTAACAATGAATAAGATGGCAAAAGCAAGCTCCAGTGCATGAAACATCAACATTACAGCACACCAAATATACTCTAAACGTAAAATGTATGTTTGGTAGATCAGGAAGTAACATACACCTACGGCTGAAGGAATTGTCAGCACCACAGAGAAAAATACTGGAACTTCTGAAAAGGGAAAATAAATATTGCCCATTAAAAAAATAAAAAGTAGTAATACAACATCGTAAATTCTGTACCGGCTGTAATAAAAATAAATAAAAACAAAAAGAAGGAACTTTTTTATAACACAATCAGAGTGGTAAAGGAGCCCAGTTTTTTTATATTGTTTTCTTACATAAATACTTACTCTTACTAGCTAAATTTCCTCTTCGTCCTAAGAATATACGTATAACTTCCACAAGACACAAAGCACTAAATATACCGGCTTCTGTTATCAAAGCATTTTCCGGATAAGAAACATTGATAGCTTTTAATATTCCCATTGCCACTTCACACACAAAAAACATCCCCAGATAAAAACTGTTTAGATACAATAATATCTCATATGCTAAACTAGAATTCACATTGGTCACTTTAGACATTTTCCTGAATGAATCAATGATGAATTTCGTTTTGTTTACTGGTTGTTTACGTATTATTTTTTGTTTATTCACTCGACCGCCTCGACAACGGGTTACCGGTCACACAAGTGACGTAAGCTAATTGTCAAATTCAACGTCCAATGAAAAATGCGCGCGCCTAAATCGATTTCCGCGTTTCGTCATATTCAAAATACTTCGGAGACAATTGGTTTCTGCAATAACATGTTACTTTTTAAAGACGCAAACATTTAGTTTTTATAGTTACTAAATAGACACTATATTGATAGCCACAAGGGCAATTAAAGATTATATTAAAATTTATGTTATACACAACATACAAAAGGGGATCTTATTAGGAAGTACTGAGGTACGTAATAATGAGGTAATAATTTGATTTATACTAACAATAAAATACACACATTTACAGAACACTTCCTCGTTTTATTTCCATTAGAGTTTCATTCATTAGAAGGAATTACTTACTTATTTCACCGCTTCGTTTACGCACATCATTGCGTGCGTACACGGTCGAGTGCTTTCGTCCGTTACGCAACAAATGCAGTAATGCACTATCAAACAGGTGAGTGTTTATACGAAAACGGAAAGTTACCGTGTAGGAAGAGTAGTGCGGAAATCGTAGCAATGTGGCTTAGCAATTTCTACCTACCTGTAATAGATATGCATGCATTTGTGGTACTATCCCTGAATATACCTGATGTCATCTACTATTGTGTAAATTCAAACTGTAGGTTTTAAATTCTAACATGGGCGTTAGCAGCAGAATGCAAGAGTTCTGCCCCTCTTGCATTTTATAGATGGAAAGGAAAGATAATTTATTTTTATTTAAAACACCGTTATTCCTTGTAGTTTGACTTTTGTTTTAACATAATTATAGTTAGGTCTTATTTATAAGTAGAACCTTTGTCATAAACTCTAACGTACTTTAAAATTAATTGATAGTTTGGAATCGGTGGTTTATTTATTGTGTAATCAAAAGCCACGAGCGCAGTGAGTCGTGAGCAAAGCCGTGTGGCGCGTAGCGATCCGCGTGCATCTTAATAGAGCCAATAGACTACCAGCGAGATGAAGTGTCAGTCTCTTAATGACCAAATACCACCCCAGTCGTTTTTCTGTTCCAGGATAACGCTGCGAAAGCCAGTAAGAGTCTGAAACTTCCTTTTGCTTTATCCTGGGCGAGATTTGATGATTTTCCCCTCGCCAAAAATAGACCCTGTCTTGCACATGCTGAACTGCTGATTTCAGCGACGTGACTTGAGATGTCTGCCCAAAACATTAGATATGTGTATGGAGCTTAATTCTTTGCGCTTGTCTTTTGTTTTTTTAACGCATATAACAAGAATTTTCTTTATTTCGAGAGAAATATGTATAAGTTCCTATAAATACTTTGGTTGGTAGGAACTACAGATATACATAGGTACCTAAAACCGGTATTGTCCCTACTAAATTGCTCAGACACCTTCCTTATATAATAAAATACCTAAGTACTAAGTTCTTATAGCTACCTAACAGGTCAGGTGGTAAGTTCCAATGAAACTAAAAGCTAATAAAGCTCAACCGGATTGGTTAGTTCTCCTAAGTTGCTGGTCTAGCTAGGGTGACAATGCTAGATAGAATATAGACAGAAATAATATTCAATTTTAAAAAAACCTTGCTCTACAGTGTAATTTTCTTTTGTATCGTAGGTTATAAAATATAAAATATATAATCGTAAAATAATAGGTCTTTACCTATGAAATTGCCGTTTTGCATGAAAAAATTTAAACGATTTTTTTGATTTGAAATGCGATGAAAATGTAACACTAATCAATAAACAAATGACTACTTTTGTAAAAAGAATCCCATGATTTTAAAACAAAATTAATTAGCCTTAGCCTAACAAAAACTATTTTGATTTGAAATGGCCAGTACTGCAGAACGGCAATTTCATAGGTAAAAACCTATTATTAAAAAGGTATTTGTGGAACACACAAACAGTTGTTCCGTGCGAGAATCAAACCCGCGACAAGTTGGACTGCAGCCATAGCCAGCCCTACCACTACGCCAATCGTACAGTCAAATTAAAAATATCACAAATGTCTTGAATATATTAAGACATAATCAATATCTAGGATTGATAGGAGCGCACTTATGTTGCCGCCTGTACCTACCTCATCCAGATTTGTACAAAACAAATGAACACAACAAATTCTTCGTGGTTCCCTTCTTGGCCAAATTCCTACCATTCAAGATGCATGGGTAAAATATAATATGTATTATGTTTCCATCACCATTTGACTTCGATTACCCGAGACCCAATCCCCCCACTAATCCTTCAACCCAAAATACCAAACCTTCAAATCCCTTACAACCCAAAAAAAGCCAGCAACGCACTTATAACCCTTTTGAGGTTTCAATAAGTGTCTTGTGCGGTGTCGATTGATTACCATCAAACGGCATCCCATAAAAAGTAATTATGAACTAAATAACAGGTAAGTTTTTAATTACTACTTAAGTAAGTACGGACCATATTTCTAATTAAAGGTTCTAAATGAAACCAACCGTGATATTCTCGTTTCTCGCAATTTGCTTGCTACGATTTCACAATTGTCCTATTGTACGGCATTTACTGGCCACCCTATTGATAGAAAGTAGTCGGCTTTCTGCAGCGGGCGAGGGAAACGCGATGCACTGATGCACCACGCAATCACAATACTTCCGTTGAGGGTACGCATTGGACGTCTCAAGAAAAGTCCCGGAGAAAAACGTTTTTTCTTTCGTGAAAATTAAATTCAGCAGATTCTCTTTCAAAATGAAAGCGAAACCAATGTTGACGTTTTCGAAATTGGATCCGGAGACAGGTGATCTCTTGGATAGGATGTTCGATAAAAAGGATTGTATGGTTGAGATCAACCCTGGTAGGGTGATCCTGCCTGCTGACTACATGACCATCGGGCAAGATATTTTGGACATGGAAGTGCGAGACTCAGATGTCTGGATGTGTTCTTATCCACGAACTGGTAAGTGGTTCAATTTTATTTGAAGTAGTTTCTTAAATTAGAGTACCTGTTTGCTTTCATCCAGAATTTCCATTGCTCGTTTGATATGACTCTGACCTAATTGATCTTAAAAAGAAAATGGTTATTTATTAGTGATATAATGTCCGCTAAAGAAAAAAGTGATCTATATTAATGTACCTAGTTAGGTATGTACTGATTTAACCTTTAAAAACTGAAGGTGGTAAAAGACAGATATCGCTAATACATAATATAATTTAATAGCCTGAGCAATACACGCGAAAGTGATTTACTTATAAGTAAATCATGTTTTCACACTTGCAAATGATTTTTATATAGATTTTGTTGCGATGAAGATCGGACCGTTAGGTATATAAAAAAATCTTCATTCAAGGTAAAACATGGAGGCGACTTTAAATTAAAGATTGGATTGTTTGTTCTAAGTGAATACCTAGGCTCTGAAATTACTCGCCCCATTTAAAAAAATCTTTCAGTGTTAAGAAGATTCTTGCACTATCCCTGGTGATATATAAAATTTACAAAAATACGCCGATCCAGTAACTCTGAAATGATCACTAATGAAAGTTATGCAAACAAAGAGCCAATAGAACACCCCTACAAATAACCCAATAGAGCTGATTTCCAACCGAGGCCTCGGCCTGGAGCAGTAGAAGGAATGGGTTTTTTTAGCCAGTAAGAGTTTGCAACTCTTTACGGAAACAGGAACTACGCGAGTAAAGTCGCAGAGTAGTGCTAGATATTCTATAAGGGAATTACTGTAACCTCATGTTTTTTCTCCCTGTTTAGGTTCGACATGGGCCCAAGAGATGGTGTGGCTTATCGGACACGATTTAGACTATGAAGGAGCCAAGTCGTTGCAACAAGTAAGTACTCCTTAAACCACCATTAAAAAGTTCATACCTTTTCATCAATTTCTTTATTTTATTTGAACAGGTCCTTTGTTAACTAAAATCCAAAGACATCAGAAAAACTATAAGACATATAGTTAATATAATAGTTAAAATAATAAAATTTAGAACCGCTACTAGTGTTATAACTTACAATCGTGGAAGAAAAACATCTGTTGATTGATAGATGCGAGTGATTTTAGTCAGAAAGAGTTACACTTACAAACTTATCTGAGACTTGCGAGAATCAAAACCGATAGAGTACCCGAGGATCCGGGTTAGCAATGAAAGGAACATTCAAGTTTAGAACCAAGAGGCCCGATATTACATCTTGAAAAGGAAGATATTTATGTAAAACCTTCTTGATTTCGAAATTCTTATACCTATGGTTAGATGTAGGCATTGTAAATTGTTACGCTTTCTATAAGTACTGCTCAACTTTTAGACCTACCGTAGCCTTCGTTTAAAACAACTACACAAAAAGGATAGGTAGTATACTGGAGTAACAGCTTTTTCCAGTTTGATAATAATAGAACAAGTTTAACCTCTCTTTAAACTTGTAGATAAGATGCCCACTAGTGGAGCTGTCCTGCATTATGGTGGCTGGTCATTCCACCTGGCATAAGGAATCAGTTCAAGGTACATCAGTAGACCTGGTAAAGCACCGTCTGCCATTCCCTCGCTACATTCGGAGCCATCTGCCCTGGGATCTGTTGCCGATGGATATTGAAAACGAGGATGGGTCTGCTAAGCCGAAGGTAAATACTTAATGGCATTAACTAAGGACTAATAGTTCGTAGTGTGTGGTTACTTGTAAGTGCATTTTTTCCGTTAAGCGATATGACTTTTTTGTGGGGGGAAAATCATCTATTCATTTCTCTCACCCAGGGTGTGGCGAAAGGATGAGTCAGATTCTTATTAATAAAAAACCCCGTTCTTTCCGCTCGTTCCTCTTTTTTCTGCTCTAGGCCGAGGCCAGTCGGGTTAAGCGCAATGAGTCACCGCGGCCTCGGCCCAGAGCAAGAGAAGGAATGGGAGTTTTTAGTCAGTAAGAGTCTGACACTGTCTTTCGCTTTACCCTGGGCGGGAGATCATTTGATGATTTTCCCCTGACAAAAAAAAGGCCGACTTTACTGTAAATGTATGCCTTTACCGGTTCATCGGGTAATAATTTACTCTCTTTTAAAACTTCCTTTTTTTTGAGGCGCCCTCATATCCCTTTATGAACAGGTCTTTTCATACAGCTTTCTTTCTGTTTAAATTTGTTAATCACCTCCAGGTTATATACACGTCCCGGAATCCAAAGGATATGGTGGTATCGTACTATCATTACTGCACTTTGGTGCATGGGCTCAAGGGAACATTTGAAGAGTTCTGCGATCTCTTCATGAGAGACCGTGCACCATTCGGACCGGTCTGGAACCATATACTTGGTAAGTTTGTACAAATTTAGTTTAAACATATGAAAATTCCTACCTATTGCACTTCTTGTTGTATAGGCCTAGCCAGGTCACAATCGTAATCGCTTTTAAAATTCCCATTATAAGCAATTTGAGACAGTCCTACGATATCCATTAGTAACGATTCTTACCTCGACAAGTATGTGTCATCGGTATCAGAATGTTTTATATGTAGATAAGTAAGCCCACTTCAACAAAGGTCACTGTAACCCTATTTCTTAGCAATTGAAAAAACCATTATGATTCAAGCGTAGTATGGCGAATATAAATGATCCTATCCTCCGATATTTTTATTTTTTACCAAAAATATGTTTGGATTTTATAAAATAAGCCAGATCAAGTTCTTATCTTTTGCCTCGAGGGGTATCGTTGCTCTCTCTAGCCGGCGTTATGTCCAACTGGGAGTTATTTTTCTAAATTCTGTTACTTTATCAGGTTTCTGGAATCGACGTCACGATCCAAATGTTCTCTTCATCAAATTTGAAGAGATGAAGCATGACCTGCCGTCTGTGGTTAGAAGAACTGCACATTTTCTGAATAAGGAACTTACCGACACCCAAGTGGACAAGCTTTGCGACCATTTGTCCTTCCAAAATATGAAAACGAACAGAGCTGTTAACTTGGAAGCCATTTTGGAAAAGTCTTTCGGCGTCAGCTATTTGGAGTCCACAGATTTAAGGTTTATAAGGAAAGGAGAAATTGGGGATTGGAAGAACTACATGTCGGATGATTTGTCGCGAAGATTCGACGAGTGGGCCGAACAACATCTGAAGGGGACCGAGTTGAGTTTCGAATAAATTATCGTGTTAAATGAGTAATTTTATTGTTGACGTTGTCTCTATTAACTTTTAATTGTAAGAAAGTAAATAAGATTGTTTTATTTTGTAGTTTAAGACTTTTTCATTTTTCATGAATGTTGAGTTAGATTTTTTTAATTTTAATTAACCTCTTTCCCTGGGAATTCGTATGGGGTAGGGTTGGGATAAAACAGTTTATTTGCTGTGTAATTTGTATTATTACAACTCGCAACCAAACACCAACTAGGAATTCTGATAAGGTTATTATCAAGAGGTTATTATCAATTACGTAGGCACGTCAGTAATGTTAGTAAAACAGTGTCCGTCTTCATAAAAAGTTATGGAACTTCCGTCTCTGTTTCCTTAATGTTACGTTGTACTTTCGTTTGTTATGCAAGGAATAATTATGTTATATACACATGTTAATTTAATTATTGTTAAGACTGTAACGTTTCTTAAATAAATAATGAGAAAATTGATCTATTTGTTTTATTTTTAGTACGAATATATATGTTCTTGACGTCTTACTTTTAGTAAGAAAAATGAAAAACTTCTCCTAGTCAAGGAAACTTTACACTCATCACAAATGCCTAGTGTGGTATACCTAATATAAAACTGAAGTACGATAATGGTATACGGATATGTAATAGTAATGGATACTCGATGAATTGCCAATGAAATTATCAATAAACAGAAAAAATGTTATCTCTTTTTTTAAATCTCTTTGGATAACAGTTTTTTTTTGTGTTTTTCGATGAGTCGTCAGTGTGTTTACAAACATACAATTCCATATGACAACTTATCTATCACACAAACAGTTCTTTCGTGAGGGAATCGAAGCTGTTACACATTGGGCTGCAGTCTGTTGCCCAGCACCCGCGCACCAACCATGCAGTAAAAAAACTCCCTATACTTTATTTATTATTGTTTGTAAAAAGGTTATCACAAATAGTTTACATTTGTACATACATTTGGGGATAAAAAATAAAACAAAAGAAACACTTTGATGCATTTTTAATACCACGAAAGTGAGATTCACATGTCTGGCAACTTAATTAAAAATTGTGGTAACCATTAAACATTGTATAGTTAATTTATCTGGTGTGTAGATAATTAATTAAGTAATTATAATATTAACATTAAAAAGATACAACAATATATTCGAAAACGTCAAAAATACAGTTTGCTGTTTGACGTAGCTCTAACAAAACGTCAAAAAAAAAATAACAAAAAAAAAAACAACAGATCATATATTTTTTTAAAATACAGTATCTAAAGTTCTTTCTTATCACTACGAAATGAAATTAATTTATTATTTACATTTATTAGAGGTGATTAATATTTTTCAGATTTTTAAATGAAAAAACTTGTATTTAACAGATAAAAACGTTGGTGTTGCCATCTCGAAAATAAAATAAGGTAGTTTATAATTTTCGCGCATCTTTTATTTCGCAATGCTACTCGATAATCTCGACATACGACGCTCGAGTTCCGTGTTAAACAATTTTATTTGAGTAAGCTGGTAAACGCAATAATTATATTAACATTGCTATGTATTATTATGAGGTACAACTAGTACCTACAAGTATTCTCGCTCACTTTTCTTTTTACAACACTTTCTGTCTCGGATTGAAGTCATTTATTTATTTACAGTTTAAGTAATCGTTATTCTGAGGATTTTTTTAACCGATTTAGACTTTATAACAAAAGAATAATTTACAAAAAAATTAAAATAAACAGACTGGGTTCTATAGGCTTTTTGTGCAAATGGTTTACCAAGAAATACACAACCCAGTGTTTAAAGAGTTTTTATGAGAAATTAGTACCTATTTAAAAAGTTTGATATGTAACTGTGTGTACATACCTGTCACTTGTACCTATTATGCGTTCTTATGTATATAACTGACTCGATCCAGCTTCGTACTGGTGCAATGCTGGATACTTTGGTAATTTATCCACTATTAATTAATGGATGTTATTACACATATAAATCTTCCTCTTCAATCACTCTATTGAAACAAAACACATCAAAATTCCGTTGCGTGGTTTGAAAGATTTAAGCATAGGCTCAAAGGGACAGAAAATGGGACTTTGTTATATACTGATCATTCATGTTATGTACTTTTGCTTCGATAAAAACGAGTATAGATTGCATCTGATAAACTTTTGCCTTTTTTGTATTGCTTTTGTCATTTTTTCTAAGCGATGATGAAGCACGCCTGCCTATAAGCAACCCATTCATTAGGGCTTTGAAGAAACCTGAGTTAATATTTTTCAGAAAACATAGAGTCTAGAACAGGATTCGACTATTTAGCGACCATTAAATGAGTAGAAAAAATGAGATTTGTAAATATTTTAATTTTATTTCTTAGGTTATACATATTATTTTAGAAGTCAAAAAGTATAATAAAAATCATTGGACTTAACGTTCTTAAAACAGCTAAGTACAGAAAAATGTTACTTTAATTTAAAAAATATTTAAATGTATAATAAAAATACAATTATATACAACAAGGATAATCTCAAAACGACTAGATAGATATTATTTAATTGACTCACAACATTCAGCTACACATTGAAAATCTGCTATGAAATTTTATTTAAGTACCTATTGTTGAAAAATTTCTTAAATAATAATTTTTTATACTACGCACTAAAACAAAGAATACTTTAGTTAGGGACATTAACAAAAAATAAAAACAACAGAAAGCATAAAAAATACCTAAACTTTTCTCAAATTTTCAAAAATATTAAGTAGGTACCTATTTTCCTTTTATAAAATTTATAGAAAAAAAAGTCGGTGTCATGGATACATTCTATTTTTAAAACTATTATATAGTATAATAATCTGTCTAGCACGTAGTAAAATATAAAATCTCTTTTTAATTTTAACGAAAATAAACTTAAATACTACATAGATTTGTGCCTATTAAGGGCGTAGCTACAACAATTTATGTAAGTACATACATAATAGGTACATATTTACAAAAAGCAAAAATGATTTTCTTAGCAATATTAAAGAAAAAAACAACAGAAGCAAATTATTAACAGCGAATCGTATACATTTTTTTTTCGGTAAGTATTAACTTACTTATAAGATTATCGAAATAACTATTATTTTTTCTAATAAAAATAATAATAATACCTAATAATAAAACGTCTTGACTTAACAATACACAATAAGAAAAATTACGTAAGAAATAAGAAGCTACGCCCTTTTTTATTCTAAAAAAAATGTTTTTTTTAGGTTACCAAGTAACCCTATCTACATTATAAAGTAGGTACATTAAAATATAATATCTGCTTCGTTTACAAGAAAAATATATTCTATTACAATACGTTTATGGTATATTATCTATTATCTATTTTCCTCTAATCCCAAAACCGTCGTCAAACGACCTCAAAATATTTTGATACATATATTATTATATATTTTTTATTATTATTTATATTTTTTTTCTATTGTCATCGTGTAAAGCTCGAATCTTGTGTTTTTTCTTTTTCTTCTATAAAAGTAATCTTTGGAATTATTTTTGGGATGTATTCGTCTGAGATCTATTTAATATCTACTAGAAAAAGCTAAATGTATTTTTCATCCATGATACCTACTAAAATTTTCAACATTACACATATATTAAAAAAATGATCGATTCGATTTATTTACTTAATCATATTAAAAATATTTAAGTTTATTCAAAATAATTGTGATACTTATAAAAATAAATTAAGTACATTTTTTTATTTTAAAAAGTAGGTATACCTACATTACTACGTACTTGCATTGTTTTTTATTACATAATACATAATTATAATGTAATATAAAATAAAATGAGTTGTGTGGACTAGAGTGAATTTGTATATACTGTTATATATGTTTCATAAACAATACATGTCACGTCGTTAGGCCGAGAAAACTTACATATTAAAATTAATTAAAAATACTGATATTCACTGTTCTGATTGGATGGTACTAAATACAAATAAAAATCCATTTATATTTCTCTTTTAAAGATATGCAAGGTTTATGTAAGTGTTGGAGAAAAATCAATAAAAAAAAAACAAAAAAAAATCTTCAATAGTAAAGAAAACAGATCAGCTGCAGCAAATCTTAAAAAAAAATAGATAACATTGCGTAATTTGTTTGTTGTATCACTAGATGGCGTAACGAGCGAATTAAAGGGTAAAGGTGCTTTTAAATAAGATGACAACTAGAATTATTTTTATGTCTAACGTGAGGGTTGCCGAAGGCTCCACAGCACTGATGGTGGTTCACATTCTTCGTGTGATGATGACCATGTGGATGTATTTGACCTTGAGGTTGTTGCTTCTCCTTATTAGAAAATTCTCTAGGAATCTGTTTATGTGTTGTGCAATTTTTATTATGTCCGGGAGCAATCCGCGCCTTGAATCTACCAACTTTGCCTGGTTTTGGATGAGATTCGGTAGACTCTTGGGTGCATAGATGAGGAACTTGGTTCATATCGTTGTGGGCGTCCTGATATTCGGTGTCTGTTTCTGAAGATAATTCTTCATTACTATACTATCATATTTATAAAACGTTTCTATATCTTTATTCTACTTACGATTGCTTGCAATAAAATGATTGAGTTTATTTAGCCAAGCATAAATATCATATTGATGTTTTCAAACACGAGGTAGGCAAAGAAAATAACGACATACAGGGTGGTTTTCCAAAATATTATTTCTGAATGATAATAGCTTTCTGGGCCTACTATCCTTACATTTCTAAAAAGATCACACGCAAAATTGATTTCATTTTGAAATTAAAAAATCTCTTTTTCTTTATGAAGTAATATTCCAAAAACCTTTCTTACCAATTTCATCCCCGCTATGTTTTGCTGTAGAGGAGGCCGTCTCAGGTCTGAGAGTGGAGTAAGAGTCCCCAATAGCTGGCGGGGCTGAGCGCGTAGGAGAGATACGCGCAACGCACTGTTGGATTAGCGTGAAGCATCCAAACGTTAGCCTCGGGCTAGTTAACG